TCCATGATGCATGCATGTGCTTCCATGATGCATGCATGTGCCTCCATGATGCATGCATGTGCCTCCATGATGCATGCATGTGCTTCCATGATGCATGCATGTGCTTCTGTGATGCATGCATGTGCTTCCATAATGCATGCATGTGCCTCCATGATGCATGCATGTGCTTCCATGATGCATGCACCGCCATGATGCATGCATGTGCATGCATGTGCTCCCATGATGCATGCATGTGCTTTAATTGTGCATGCATGTGCCTCCATGATGCATGCATGTGCTTCCATGATGCATGCATGTGCTTCCGTGATGCATGCATTTGCTTCCATGATGCATGCATGTGCCTCCATATACATGCATGTGCTTCCATGATGCATGCATGTGCTTCCATGATGGATGCATGTGCCTCCATGGTGCATGCATGTGCTTCCATGATGCATGCATGTGCTTCATGATGCATGCATGTGCCTCCATGATGCATGCATGTGCCGCCATGATGCATGCATGTGCCTCAATGATGCATGCATGTGCTCCCATGGTGCATGCATGTGCTTCCATGATGCATGTGCTTCCATGATGCATGCATGTGCTTCCATGATGCATGCATGTGCTTCCATGATGCATGCATGTGCCTCCATGATGCATGCACGTGCTTCCATGATGCATGCATGTGCTTCTGTGATGCATGCATGTGCTTCCATAATGCATGCATGTGCCTCCATGATGCATGCATGTGCTTCCATGATGCATGCATGTGCCTCCATGATGCATGCATGTGCTCCCATGATGCATGCATGTGCTTCCATGATGCATGCATGTGCCTCCATGATGCATGCATGTGCCGCCATGATGCATGCATGTGCCTCCATGATGCATGCATGTGCTCCCATGATGCATGCATGTGCTTCCATGATGCATGCATGTGCTTCCATGATGGATGCATGTGCCTCCATGATGCATGCATGTGCTTCCATGATGCATGCATGTGCTTCATGATGCATGCATGTGCCTCCATGATGCATGCATGTGCCGCCATGATGCATGCATGTGCCTCAATGATGCATGCATGTGCTTCCATGATGCATGCATGTGCTTCCATGATGCATGCATGTGCTTCCATGATGCATGCATGTGCCTCCATGATGCATGCATGTGCCTCCATGATGCATGCATGTGCTTCCATGATGCATGCATGTGCTTCTGTGATGCATGCATGTGCTTCCATAATGCATGCATGTGCCTCCATGATGCATGCATGTGCTTCCATGATGCATGCACCGCCATGATGCATGCATGTGCATGCATGTGCTCCCATGATGCATGCATGTGCTTTCATTGTGCATGCATGTGCCTCCATGATGCATGCCTGTGCTTCCATGATGCATGCATGTGCTTCCGTGATGCATGCATTTGCTTCCATGATGCATGCATGTGCCTCCATATGCATGCATGTGCTTCCATGATGCATGCATGTGCTTCCATGATGGATGCATGTGCCTCCATGGTGCATGCATGTGCTTCCATGATGCATGCATGTGCTTCATGATGCATGCATGTGCCTCCATGATGCATGCATGTGCCGCCATGATGCATGCATGTGCCTCAATGATGCATGCATGTGCTCCCATGGTGCATGCATGTGCTTCCATGATGCATGTGCTTCCATGATGCATGCATGTGCTTCCATGATGCATGCATGTGCTTCCATGATGCATGCATGTGCTTCCATGATGCATGCATGTGCCTCCATGATGCATGCACGTGCTTCCATGATGCATGCATGTGCTTCCATGATGCATGCATGTGCTTCATGATGCATGCATGTGCCTCCATGATGCATACATGTGCCGCCATGATGCATGCATGTGCCTCAATGATGCATGCATGTGCTCCCATGGTGCATGCATGTGCTTCCATGATGCATGTGCTTCCATGATGCATGCATGTGCTTCCATGATGCATGCATGTGCTTCCATGATGCATGCATGTGCTTCCATGATGCATGCATGTGCCTCCATGATGCATGCACGTGCTTCCATGATGCATGCATGTGCTTCCATGATGCATGCATGTGCTTCATGATGCATGCATGTGCCTCCATGATGCATGCATGTGCCGCCATGATGCATGCATGTGCCTCAATGATGCATGCATGTGCTCCCATGGTGCATGCATGTGCTTCCATGATGCATGTGCTTCCATGATGCATGCATGTGCTCCCATGATGCATGCATGTGCTTCCATGATGCATGCATGTGCCTCCATGATGCATGCATGTGCCGCCATGATGCATGCATGTGCCTCCATGATGCATGCATGTGCTCCCATGATGCATGCATGTGCTTCCATGATGCATGCATGTGCTTCCATGATGGATGGATGTGCCTCCATGATGCATGCATGTGCTTCCATGATGCATGCATGTGCTTCATGATGCATGCATGTGCCTCCATGATGCATGCATGTGCCGCCATGATGCATGCATGTGCCTCAATGATGCATGCATGTGCTTCCATGATGCATGCATGTGCTTCCATGATGCATGCATGTGCTTCCATGATGCATGCATGTGCCTCCATGATGCATGCATGTGCCTCCATGATGCATGCATGTGCTTCCATGATGCATGCATGTGCTTCTGTGATGCATGCATGTGCTTCCATAATGCATGCATGTGCCTCCATGATGCATGCATGTGCTTCCATGATGCATGCACCGCCATGATGCATGCATGTGCATGCATGTGCTCCCATGATGCATGCATGTGCTTTCATTGTGCATGCATGTGCCTCCATGATGCATGCATATGCTTCCATGATGCATGCATGTGCTTCCGTGATGCATGCATTTGCTTCCATGATGCATGCATGTGCCTCCATATGCATGCATGTGCTTCCATGATGCATGCATGTGCTTCCATGATGGATGCATGTGCCTCCATGGTGCATGCATGTGCTTCCATGATGCATGCATGTGCTTCATGATGCATGCATGTGCCTCCATGATGCATGCATGTGCCGCCATGATGCATGCATGTGCCTCAATGATGCATGCATGTGCTCCCATGGTGCATGCATGTGCTTCCATGATGCATGTGCTTCCATGATGCATGCATGTGCTTCCATGATGCATGCATGTGCTTCCATGATGCATGCATGTGCTTCCATGATGCATGTGCTTCCATGATGCATGTGCTTCCATGATGCATGCACGTGCTTCATGATGCATGCATGTGCCTCAATGGTGCATGCATGTGCTTCCATGATGGATGCATGTGCCTCCATGATGCATGCATGTGCTTCCATGATGCATGCATGTGCTTCATGATGCATGCATGTGCTTCCACGATGCATGCATGTGCTTCCATGATGCATGCATGTGCCTCCATGATGCATGCACGTGCTTCCATAATGCATGCATGTGCTTCCATGATGCATGCATGTGCTTCCATGATGCATGTGCTTCCATGATGCATGCACGTGCTTCATGATGCATGCATGTGCCTCAATGGTGCATGCATGTGCTTCCATGATGGATGCATGTGCCTCCATGATGCATGCATGTGCTTCCATGATGCATGCATGTGCCTCCATGATGCATGCATGTGCTCCCATGGTGCATGCATGTGCTTCCATGATGCATGCATGTGCTTCCATGATGCATGCATGTGCTTCCATGATGCATGCATGTGCTTCCATGATGCATGCATGTGCCTCCATGATGCATGCACGTGCTTCCATGATGCATGCATGTGCTTCCATGATGCATGCATGTGCTTCATGATGCATGCATGTGCCTCCATGATGCATGCATGTGCCGCCATGATGCATGCATGTGCCTCAATGATGCATGCATGTGCTCCCATGGTGCATGCATGTGCTTCCATGATGCATGTGCTTCCATGATGCATGCATGTGCTTCCATGATGCATGCATGTGCTTCCATGATGCATGCATGTGCCTCCATGATGCATGCACGTGCTTCCATAATGCATGCATGTGCTTCCATGATGCATGCATGTGCTTCCATGATGCATGTGCTTCCATGATGCATGTGCTTCCATGATGCATGCACGTGCTTCATGATGCATGCATGTGCCTCAATGGTGCATGCATGTGCTTCCATGATGGATGCATGTGCCTCCATGATGCATGCATGTGCTTCCATGATGCATGCATGTGCTTCATGATGCATGCATGTGCCTCCATGATGCATGCACGTGCTTCCATGATGCATGCATGTGCTTCCATGATGCATGCATGTGCTTCCATGATGCATGCATGTGCCTCCATGATGCATGCACGTGCTTCCATGATGCATGCATGTGCCTCCATGATGCATGCATGTGCTTCCATGATGGATGCATGTGCCTCCATGATGCATGCATGTGCTTCATGATGCATGCATGTGCCTCCATGATGCATGCACGTGCTTCCATGATGCATGCATGTGCTTCCATGATGCATGCATGTGCCTCCATGATGCATGCACGTGCTTCCATGATGCATGCATGTGCTTCTGTGATGCATGCATGTGCTTCCATGATGCATGCATGTGCTTCTGTGATGCATGCATGTGCTTCCATGATGCATGCATGTGCTTCTGTGATGCATGCATGTGCTTCCATGATGCATGTGCTTCCATGATGCATGTGCTTCCATGATGCATGCACGTGCCTCCATGATGCATGCATGTGCTTCCATGATGCATGCATGTGCTTCCGTGATGCATGCATGTGCTTCCGTGGTGCATGCATGTGCTTCCGTGATGCATGCTCTTTCGCCTCCTCTCTAATCGCTTCTTTGAGCCAGTATAGATAAAGTCTCCTCGCTCTTTTCTGCCACACCTTTCCTCTCTCTGCAACCCCTTGTAAAAACTCATGCAGCAGTGCATTCACGGGTTCTGAGGTGCCTCAAACTCCTGACACCCTGCCAGTCCTCCCCCCTCCCTCCCTCCCCCCCGCTCCCCCGTCTACTCTCCTCCTCGCCGCTCCCTGCCACCAGTGGCGTGCGCAACAACCGCATGTACGGGCCGCTGCCACGCTGCATGTTTGACTTCCTCGGACTCAACTACCTGTGAGTGTGCTGCATGTTTGACTTCCTCGGACTCAACTACCTGTGAGTGTGCTGCATGTTTGACTTCCTCGGACTCAACTACCTGTGAGTGTGCTGCATGTTTGACTTCCTCGGACTCAACTACCTGTGAGTGTGCTGCATGTTTGACTTCCTCGGACTCAACTACCTGTGAGTGTGCTGCATGTTTGACTTCCTCGGACTCAACTACCTGTGAGTGTGCTGCATGTTTGACTTCCTCGGACTCAACTACCTGTGAGTGTGCTGCATGTTTGACTTCCTCGGACTCAACTACCTGTGAGTGTGCTGCATGTTTGACTTCCTCGGACTCAACTACCTGTGAGTGTGCTGCATGTTTGACTTCCTCGGACTCAACTACCTGTGAGTGTGCTGCATGTTTGACTTCCTCGGACTCAACTACCTGTGAGTGTGCTGCATGTTTGACTTCCTCGGACTCAACTACCTGTGAGTGTGCTGCATGTTTGACTTCCTCGGACTCAACTACCTGTGAGTGTGCTGCATGTTTGACTTCCTCGGACTCAACTACCTGTGAGTGTGCTGCATGTTTGACTTCCTCGGACTCAACTACCTGTGAGTGTGCTGCATGTTTGACTTCCTCGGACTCAACTACCTGTGAGTGTGCTGCATGTTTGACTTCCTCGGACTCAACTACCTGTGAGTGTGCTGCATGTTTGACTTCCTCGGACTCAACTACCTGTGAGTGTGCTGCATGTTTGACTTCCTCGGACTCAACTACCTGTGAGTGTGCTGCATGTTTGACTTCCTCGGACTCAACTACCTGTGAGTGTGCTGCATGTTTGACTTCCTCGGACTCAACTACCTGTGAGTGTGCTGCATGTTTGACTTCCTCGGACTCAACTACCTGTGAGTGTGCTGCATGTTTGACTTCCTCGGACTCAACTACTTGTGAGTGTGCTGCATGTTTGACTTCCTCGGACTCAACTACCTGTGAGTGTGCTGCCCCTTTGCGTGGCCCATATTCCCTTCATTCCTTGCTGATACCCAAGGTGCAACGGCCCCTGGACACATGCAATGGCCATCATGCTCTGACCCTGCCCTCTACTCCTCAACCTGCTGTTTCCTTGATGCTTCTCTCCTCTACTCCTCTACACCATGCTCCCTTCCACTCCTCCCGCCAGTGACGTGTGCAACAACTCATTCTACGGCAGATAAACCGCAACTTCAAGGGGATGAAAAACCAGACCGAGTGACCCCTGTTTCCACAAGCCTTTCATTCCCGTCAAAGCCTCTCCCGCCTCTCCCCCCCTTCCCCACCAGCGACGTGCGCAACAACTCGTTCTACGGCACCATAAACCGCGACTTCAAGGGCATGAACAACCAGCCCACAGCGCAGAACCCCAAACCCGCCGCGCTCAACCTCGCGTCCAACTACTTTTACGGAGAGCCCTTTGTGTATGCCGCTGGTAGCATGATCTGCCCGACACCCGTCGTTCGCGACATTGACTACCACGATATAGCCTCCATAGGGGCGACCGCAGGCGGGGTGGTGGCGGCAGATTCAACTTCCGGGCGGCAGGACTATCGGGTGTCTGTGGCGTATGAGAAAGGGCAGGCGAGTCTGCTGCAGAACTGCCTGGCAGTGCGCGGCGAGGCGGGGTGCCTCGTGAACGAGACGCAGCGGGCGCCGGAGGAGTGTGCAGCGTTTTGCAGCATCACGGAGAGTGGCGTGTGCAACGGGGTGGGGGACTGCGTGCCGCCTGAGCCGGGGAGCAGCGGGCAGGGCTTCACGTGCCGCTGCAATGCGCCGTATTCCACTGTGCCTGCTGCCAATGGCAATGGCTCCTCCTGTGCAATTCAGACCACCAAGTCCTGTGAGTGCCTCTCGGTTGCGTGTTTGCAACAGTTCTCCTTATGCGTGAGACGACTCACCTGTCCACGCAATGCATCTCATTTGCCACCCTCTCTCCGTTCCTCATCCCATCCGTCTGTCTCGCCCACCTCCCCGCTCCACAGCACTATCCACGAGGGCCATCGTGGGCATCGCAGTGGGGTGCTTCATGGGGCTCGCTCCCATGGTGGCCATTGGCCCATTTCCCATCGCTCTCTTCCCCTCATCCTCCCTCTCACCCCTCCCCGCAGCGCTGTCAACGGGGGCGATAGTGGGCATCTCAGTGGGGTGCTTCACGGGACTTGCTCTCATTGCCGCGGTGCTCGTCATCATGCTCCGCAAGAAGAAGAGACGTGAGTGCTGCCCTTCTGCCTGCTCTTGCATGCTTTGTATCGACTGCCACGCTGTATGCAGCTGGGCTTATGAACGTCACCTGCCCCTATGTCGCTACGGAAAAGCTGCATGCTTGGTATCGCTATATTGAAATCACTTCTGAGAATTCTCAAAAGTGACTTCAATAAAAGCTGCATACTACCATTTATCCCGACTCCTAGGTCCCACTCCCCCGTTTCCTCACATCCTCCGAACCGAAGGCTCTCTTCTTCCCAGGAAGTTGGGATGACCTGGATGCGTGTTTGAAGCTTTCGATTGAGGTTCGAGTTTTTCTGTTGCTCGCACTCGGAGAGTTCTGCAATGCCACTGCTCAACACTCATCCTTTTCTCATTCCCCTCCCCGCTCCCCCTCATCACACTCCCTCCTTCTCTCCCTTCCCACTCTCCCTCTCCGCCCTTTCTCAGGCCGGTGGGATGACCTGGACGTGTGACAGGAGTTTTCCATAACCACGATGCACAAAGCCCTCATGTCCGCCTCTCAATCGCCTCTAACGCTCCCTTCCTTCCCCCACATGCGCTTCCCACTCTCCTCCCCACCCCGCCCTCCCAACCTCTCCTCTCCCCAGGCCGATGGGACGACCTGGATGTGTGTCAGGAGTTCTCCATCGCCACGATGCGCAAGGCCACCAACGACTGGGCGGAGGGGAACGTGCTGGGCGAGGGGGGCTTTGCTGTCGTGTACAAGGGCGTCAACCCCGCCACCGGGCAGCTCTGGGCCATCAAGAGGCAAACGCTCATGTCTAACGACTTTGAAATGGAGGTGAGAATGCCTGTAACGAGTATGGGGTGTGCGTCGTGTTCCCAGCTCCCGGCGCGCGAACCAAGCGCACCACATCACATCCAAGGGCGTCACCGACCCTCCCACCCTCACCCTTTCCCGCTCTGCCAAATTGGTATCCAAGTGTTGAGCTAAAAATATCCTACCTTCATTGTCGGATCCTGGAAGGTGGCGATTATGTACTCATTGCTGCTGCCGTACTAGCAGTTTGGCAGTGCTTGTGCCCTAACCCACGTGCTTGTTCTTTGATTCCTAGGTGCGGGCGATGGCGAGTCTGAACCACAAGAACCTGGTGCGGCTGCTGGGGTTCTGTCTGGACATGAACGTGGAGAGCGGCAAGCAGGAGCAGATCCTCGTGTACGAGTTCGTGCCACACCGCGACTTCCAGTACCACATCCACAAGCCCAAGCGTGAGTGTCCATCCACAAGCCCAAGCGTGAGTGCCACATCTGCAGAAACAAGCATGGCTATTTCATTTAACAGAGCGAGAGTTGCTAACAGAAACGCCCGCACTGTGAACATCAGCCATTTTTACTCAAGCTCGCCATCCAGCCACCTCTCCATCTCCACCTCTTCCCCCCACTCTTTCATCCCCCTCCTCCCCGCTCCCCCTCTCTTTCCACATCCCCTGCCCAGGCCCGTTGAACCTGCGGCAGCGGTTGAAGCTGGCGGTGGGGGCAGCGGAGGGGTTGGCATATCTGCACGGCTTTGAGAATCCCATCATTCACCGCGACATCAAGCCCGCCAACATCCTCGTTGGGGAAAACCTCACGGTGAGCCTCTATCCTCCAGGCCCTAGCCCTGCCATGCCACCACCTCACAGTGAGCCTCTAGCCGCTAGCCTTAGAGCTTGTCGCCTTGCGATGCCACTACCTCACCCTGAGCCTCGAGCCTCAAGATGCTGAAGATGCGGTTTGAGAGCATCCCCTAACATCCCCTCATTTTCCCCACTCCCCCCCTTCACTTTCCCCACTTCCCCTCTCTTGCCCACCTGCGACCCCCTCACAGGCAACGATAGCAGACTTCAGGCTGCTCAAGTCAAGACGCTCTAAACTACCTCACCTGCCCTCCTCACTTTCTCCTCCTTGCCCCCCGAACCCTCTCAGGCAAAGATAGCAGATTCTGGGCTGCTCAAGACGCTCAAGGCTGGGGATGAGAGTGCTTCAACCATCCCCGCACTCCCCTCCTTGCTTTCCCTCACCCTCCTGCGCCCCTTGCCCGCCCGCCCAGGCCAAGATCGCAGATTTTGGGCTGCTCAAGACGCTCAAGGTGGGGGATGAGACCGCAACCAGGGTGGCGGGCACACCGGGCTATGTGGACCCGGATTACAATCGCACCCAGATGGTCACCACCAAGAGCGATGTGTACAGGTGGGTGGGTGCTAATAATGGTGGTTGCAGGTGGGCGGCTGACAGTGGTGCTTGCAGGTGATTTTCGAGTCGACTGAAACGGCACACCGGGCTATTGTACTACATAATGGACTGCAGCATCCTCCTGCATAATTCCACCTTGCACCCCATGCCCATTGCCCATGCCCCATGCCCATGCCCCATGCCCCATGCCCATTGCCCATGCCCCATGCCGATGCCCCATGCCCATGCCCCATGCCCATGCCCATGCCCCATGCCCCATGCCCATTGCCCATGCCCCATGCCCCATGCCCATTGCCCATGCCCCATGCCCCATGCCCATTGCCCATTGCCCATGCCCCATGCCCATGCCCCATGCCCATGCCCCATGCCCATGCCCATGCCCCATGCCCCATGCCCATTGCCCATGCCCCATGCCCCATGCCCCATGCCCATTGCCCATGCCCCATGCCCCATGCCCATTGCCCATGCCCCATGCCCATGCCCCATGCCCCATGCCCCATGCCCATTGCCCATGCCCCATGCCCATTGCCCATGCCCCATGCCCCATGCCCCATGCCCCATGCCCATTGCCCATGCCCCATGCCCCATGCCCCATGCCCATGCCCCATGCCCCATGCCCCAATCGACCCCAATCATAGCATCCAGTGTCCCCTCAACGCCCTCGTCCGTGTACACCCTCTTACCCCTCGCATGCCATGTGTCAGTTTTGGGGTGGTGCTGCTGGAGATGCTGACAGCGCGCAAGGTCACCATGGGCGGCAGCTCCCACATCGGCAAATGGGTGAGAGACACGTCAGCAGACTCCTGAGAATCAAATTTCAGCAAATCATCCACTGACACATCAGCATAGGACTTCATGGCGCATATTCTAGTCTGTGTTCTCTTATGCTGCTACCCTCTCCTCGCTTCCTTTCGTCCTTTCCCCTCCCCCGTTCCCTCCTCAGGCGAGCAAGATGGTGGCAGAATGCACGCTGTACGACCTGAGGGAGAAGTCGCTAGAGATTCCCGAGGAGGCTATATTGGAGTGGGCTGACCTGTACTGAGCCACCTCAAAACTCAGCCCCCCCATCCTCCCGCTCCCCCTCTTCCCCTCCTGCCCATCCCCAGGCGAGCAAGATGGTGGCAGAATACACGCTGGACGATCTGAGGGACAAGTCGCTGGAGATTCCTGAGGAGGCCATTGTGGAGTGGGCTGACCTGGCCCTTGACTGCATCAAGGCGCCTGGGTCGCGGCGGCCTGAGATGAAGGACGTGGTGAGGCGGCTGGATCACCTGCTGCAAACCTACACGGAGGAGTATGAGGGCGAGAATGACCTTGGTGGGATTGTTTCTGGGTTGAGCAGCAGCGCGAGCGATGCGGGGCTGAGGAGCCAGGCTGGCACGAGCTCAGCCGTTGGATCGGGAATGAGCTTCCCATCTTCCGGGGTGATGCATTCGTCGTTTAACAGCACGGTGCAGAGCGGTGTGATGAGTAAGGCCCCGGTGAGTGGTATCAGCGAGGTATCGGGTGTGAGCATGGCATCGGGTAAGAGTGGGGCGGCTGGCTCGAGTACGAGGTCAAAGCTGATGATGTCTGTGGCGTCTGCACTGGGCATGAGTGAAGGGGAGATGGCGGGAGGGGAGGGCGGTGGGGATAGTGCAGTGATGCAGCCAGCAGGCGGGAAGACGGCTGGTCACAGCCTTCAGAGCCTCTTGAGTGTGAAGGAGGTTGAGGGGAGATGAGTGGAGGAGGGGTGATGAGTGGAGGGGCAATGATGAGTGGAGGAGGAATTGGGAGGGGGGGTGTTGAAGCCCTGTTGAAGGGAGTGGAGGGTCAGGTGTGTATGCTGCGTTGTAGGTACGTTGTAGGTAGGTTAGGCCACAATTGCCCCCTCTTCCTAATTGATTCCAGACCAGAACCCTCAGTTATCATGTAGGCCTTACTCTCGCATCACATTGTGTGTACAACCGTACCATGTATCATCGTCATCTCTTGCATTGGTTTGCGAACAGCAGCGGTAGTCGGAAAATCCGAAATAGCCCTGCCTTTGGTTGCTACGGTAGCACTGGAAGCACAAAATCGTGCAAAATATACGGCATGCAAGAAAAACTGCGCAGGGAAGGAGCCAGGAGTTAATGGCTGTTCTTATATTGGATGTATTTATTGGATGTAAGCAACAGGACAGCTGGAGTGGCGAGTAAGATCCTCTAAACCTATCTCAACCGGACTGTGCATACCGTATATGTATTGGATGCATACAGAGATGTATGACCCTTTTCCTCTCCAGCACATCTCACCAGTTGTGCATCTTCTGCCAATAAAGCATAGCACCAGTGCAGCAGCAGCTGTGGTCTAAGGCATCACAGGCACAGCCAACACTAACACCCCAAACTCATCTGTGCATCACCATGCCTATGACTCCCCCTACAATCCTTTGTGTTCATGCAGCATAGCTACTGGGTAGTGTTGATTGTCGCTTTCCCCCTTCCACCCTTAGTCTATTCGCCCCACCCTCCCGATGCTTGTTCGTGTCGTCTACAGTGATGGCACACACAGCTGACCCCGTGTGATCCATGCACCCAGGTGCTCGCTCAGGTGCCTGCTCAGGTGGTTGCTCAGGTGGTTTTTGGAAAGGGAAGGAGGCCGCGTGAGGAGCGTAGTGTGAGGATGAGGTGTGTGTTGAGAGCAGGGAGCCCACAGAGGGGTGGTGGATACCATCAGGGATGGTGAGAACGGCAGATCGGCTGTCTGAGCCCATGCTGCTGCTACTGCTGCTGGTGGTGCTACTGCTACTGGTGTTGCTGCTGACTGCACTGCTGCTGGAGCAACTGCTGCTGCTGCTAGAGCAAGCTTCCATGGAGTGCGGAGAGGGGACATGGTACGTGTTGTTTGTGTGGGGAGTGAGGGCGGTGGGGGTGGAGGAGCAAGAGGCGGGGGGCGAGAGCAGGCCGCAGTGCTGCTGCTGGTTCTCCTCTATCGCCCTCTGCAGGGCGTCTTTTGCTATCCTCGTTATAAGCACAGTCGCCACGACTGCAGCAGGCAGAGGGAGGAGTAGGGATAGCAGGGCTGGCATGAGTGGAAGGCAGGTGATAGTGGTCCCTTGTTCTAGGGAAAAGGATTGTTGGGTTGGGCCGCTTCAAGAGGGAAGGGAGTGCGGTGGGATCAGTGGGAAAAGGAGCAGATGGCATGTGGGGTGGATGGATGGGTGCTAGGGTTCTTGCAAGCGATGAAGGTGGCAAGACATGATGTGTGAGGGTAGCAAGGTAGTAGTGTGAGTTGATGTAAGGGACAGGGGGATTGCGAGGAACACGGAGATGCAGTGTGATCACTCACTTGTGACAGCAAGGCCGGCCCCAAGCATCCACTGCAGATGCACCATCACAGAGGGACAAAAGGAGAGAGAAAAAGGGAGGTAGGGAAGGGGGGAGAGGCAGGGAAGGGGGGAGGCAGGGAAGGGGGGCATACAGGGGAGAGTGAGTTGCAGGCACAGGTAAGGGAAAAGGGGGTAGATGCCACATGCAGCAAGACTTGGGGGTAGATGGTGGGATAGTACAGGTGCGTCTCAGAACAGCAGCGCACCACATGGCCGTGCACACGCACACATGGCCGTGCACACGCACACCCCTCACGGATACGCACCACCCCCCCGTAAGCACAATCCCCCATAAGCACCAACCCCCCATAATCACCATCCTCCCATAAGCACCACCCCTCCTATAAGCGCTAACACCCTGTAAGCGCACTGACCCATTGCGATGCCCCAGCAGCTCCCGGGGAGCCGATTTCCGAAATGTCTTTAATGGTTGTGCCCAGATACACGAAGGTGAAGGTGATGGGCTGCCGAGCCAAGGGCGGGGAGGGGAGGAGAGACAAGGGAGAATACGACTTTGATGGTGGTGCTCGGATACACGAAGGTGAAGGTGATGGGCTGTGGGGGTTGAAGGAGGAAGGCAGAGGAGGCAAGGGAGGGGAGAGGGAGAGGCAAGGGAGGGGAGCGGGAGAGGCAAGGGAGGGGAGCGGGAGAGGCAAGGGAGGGGAGGCGGAGAGGCAAGGGAGGGGAGGGGAGAGGCAAGGGATAGACACTGATCCTCATGCCTGATTCTCATGCCCAGTAGTCATCATCACCCCCCACGCACCCACCAATGACCATCATGCCTGCATGCCTTGCCACGCCCAGCACTAACCATCATGCCGATCCAGGAGGCGAGGACGTAGGAGGAGAGGCTGATGGGCGTGACGGAGAGCACATAGTTCATCACGTTGAATGGCAGGATGGGCACCAGCCGCAGCAGCAGCACGATCTGTGAGGGGGACGAGACGGGGAGAATGAGGGGGCGAGGGAGGATGAGGGGGCGCGGGAGGATGAGGGGGCGCGGGAGGATGAGGGGGCGCGGGAGCAGATGCAGAACGGGCTTAGAGAAAGAGAGGGGATGTGCCGTCACGGAGAGCACGTAATTCATCACGTTGACGGGCAGGATGGGCACCAGCCGCAGAAACAGCACGATATGTGATGTTGCCAGGCGCGGGGGAAATGAGGGAGGCGGGGGAGCATGAGGGAGCGGGGGAGCATGAGGGAGCGGGGGAGAATGAGGGGGCGGGGGAGAATGAGGGGGCGGGGGAGAATGAGGGGGCGGGGAGAATGAGGGGGCGGGGGAGAATGAGGGGGCGGGGGAGAATGAGGGAGCGGGGGAGCATGAGGGAGCGGGGGAGCATGAGGGAGCGGGGGAGCATGAGGGAGCGGGGGAGCATGAGGGAGCGGGGGAGCATGAGGGAGCGGGGGAGCATGAGGGAGCGGGGGAGCATGAGGGAGCGGGGGAGCATGAGGGAGCGGGGGAGAATGAGGGGGCGGGGGAGCATGAGGGAGCGGGGGAGAATGAGGGGGCGGGGGAGAATGAGGGGGCGGGGGAGAATGAGGGGGCGGGGGAGAATGAGGGGGCGGGGGAGAATGAGGGGGCGGGGGAGAATGAGGGGGCGGGGGAGAATGAGGGGGCGGGGGAGAATGAGGGGGCGGGGGAGAATGAGGGGGCGGGGGAGAATGAGGGGGCGGGGGAGAATGAGGGGGCGGGGGAGAATGAGGGGGCGGGGGAGAATGAGGGGGCGGGGGAGAATGAGGGGGCGGGGGAGAATGAGGGGGCGGGGGAGAATGAGGGGGCGGGGGAGAATGAGGGGGCGGGGGAGAATGAGGGGCGGGGGAGCATGAGGGAGCGGGGGAGCATGAGGGAGCGGGGGAGCATGAGGGAGCGGGGGAGCATGAGGGAGCGGGGGAGCATGAGGGAGCGGGGGAGCATGAGGGAGCGGGGGAGCATGAGGGAGCGGGGGAGCATGAGGGAGCGGGGGAGCATGAGGGAGCGGGGGAGCATGAGGGAGCGGGGGAGCATGAGGGAGCGGGGGAGCATGAGGGAGCGGGGGAGCATGAGGGAGCGGGGGAGCATGAGGGAGCGGGGGAGCATGAGGGAGCGGGGGAGCATGAGGGAGCGGGGGAGCATGAGGGAGCGGGGGAGCATGAGGGAGCGGGGGAGCATGAGGGAGCGGGGGAGCATGAGGGAGCGGGGGAGCATGAGGGAGCGGGGGAGAATGAGGGGGCGGGGGAGAATGAGGGGGCGGGGGAGAATGAGGGGGCGGGGGAGAATGAGGGGGCGGGGGAGAATGAGGGGCGGGGGAGAATGAGGGGGCGGGGGAGAATGAGGGGGCGGGGGAGAATGAGGGGGCGGGGGAGAATGAGGGGGCGGGGGAGAATGAGGGGGCGGGGGAGAATGAGGGGGCGGGGGAGAATGAGGGGGCGGGGGAGAATGAGGGAGCGGGGGAGCATGAGGGAGCGGGGGAGAATGAGGGGGCGGGGGAGAATGAGGGGGCGGGGGAGCATGAGGGAGCGGGGGAGCATGAGGGAGCGGGGGAGCATGAGGGAGCGGGGGAGCATGAGGGAGCGGGGGAGCATGAGGGAGCGGGGGAGCATGAGGGAGCGGGGGAGCATGAGGGAGCGGGGGAGCATGAGGGAGCGGGGGAGAATGAGGGGGCGGGGGAGAATGAGGGGGCGGGGGAGAATGAGGGGGCGGGGGAGAATGAGGGGGCGGGGGAGAATGAGGGGCGGGGGAGCATGAGGGAGCGGGGGAGCATGAGGGAGCGGGGGAGAATGAGGGGGCGGGGAGAATGAGGGGGCGGGGGAGCATGAGGGGGCGGGGAGCATGAGGGAGCGGGGGAGCATGAGGGAGCGGGGGAGCATGAGGGAGCGGGGGAGCATGAGGGAGCGGGGGAGCATGAGGGAGCGGGGGAGCATGAGGGAGCGGGGGAGCATGAGGGAGCGGGGGAGCATGAGGGAGCGGGGGAGAATGAGGGGGCGGGGGAGAATGAGGGGGCGGGGGAGAATGAGGGAGCGGGGGAGAATGAGGGGGCGGGGGAGAATGAGGGGCGGGGGAGAATGAGGGGGCGGGGAGAATGAGGGGGCGGGGGAGAATGAGGGGGCGGGGGAGAATGAGGGGGCGGGGGAGAATGAGGGGGCGGGGGAGAGTGAGGGGGCGGGGGAGAATGAGGGGGCGGGGGAGAATGAGGGGGCGGGGGAGAATGAGGGGGCGGGGAGCATGAGGGGGCGGGGGAGAATGAGGGGCGGGGGAGAATGAGGGGGCGGGGAGAATGAGGGGGCGGGGGAGCATGAGGGGGCGGGGGAGCGTGAAGGGGGGAGGGAGCGGATTATAGGGGGCGAGATAGTTTGCAGGAAATAGGGAGAGAGGAGGCCGAGAAACTCGATATTCAGGTGGCAGAAAAGCAGAGGTGTGTGGGGTAGGGGATGAGTGGGGAAGTGGGATTAAGCGATGGAGGAGGGAGGAGATGTGGGAGGGAGACGAGGGAGAAAGAGATGGGGTGAAGCACGGAGAGAAAAGCAGTTATTGGGAAGGAAGTGCAGGGAGACGAGTGTGACCTTGAAACCGGATTTGGAGATGGCGTGCGCGACTGGTTGGAACTGCGGGTACTCCTTGAGCTTCGCCGACACGTATGAGCGCCCGATCTGCACCGCACGAGGCCGTGGGCGGGCGGGCGGGCATGGGAGGGTTAGCGGGAACGGGTGGAGTGTCGGGAACGGGTGGGGCGTGAAGCATAGGATGGGTGTGGGGAAGTGGTGGGCTGGCGAGACACGGGTGTTGCCAAACGAGCCGGCTACGGGCGAGGTAGACATGGAGGAAGCACGGACGCAAGAGAGAGGGCCGTGGAAGCTAGAGAGGGGCTGTGGGAACAATCGATTCTGAACAACGATAGGCGGCGGGGATGGGATGTCAGCAAGTACCGGCAGCGCGGGACGCACGGTTTTGCCGACGAGGAAGGCGGCGGTGGCGCCCGCCGTGGAAACAAGGGAGGGCTTGTTGAAGCAAAGCATGGGCGGCGGGCAAGGGGGGGGGAACGGGCAAGGGGGGGGGGGGGGGGGCAGCGGGCAAGGGGGGGGGAACGGGCAAGGGGGGGGGGCAGCGGGCAAGGTGGGGGGGGAACGGGCAAGGGGGGGGGCAGCGGGCAAGGGGGGGGGAAACGGGCAAGGGGGGGGCAGCGCGAGACGCACGGTTTTGCCAACGAGGAAGGCGGCGGTGGCGCCGGCCGTGGAGCCGAGCGAGTCCGCCACGAAGCCCACGAGCAGCCCGAACACGTACCCCCCGCCCCAGCTGCGCGCAACCAGCGGTGAGGGGAGAGGATGGGGTAGAGGAGGGACAGGGGGGGCAAATGAGGGGACAGACGGGACAGTAAGGGGGGAGTGGAGAAAGAGAAAGGGTACAGATGAAGCGGAAGGCGGAAGAGAAGAGGAATGCGGTACGACGCACGTTTAGAGCACGTCCGTGTTGCGTTAAGATACATGGCGTTCGTATTATAACGAAGAGTGGTCTGCTCTCACTAACAATTGGAAGTTCATTCATCTCGTGTATGGCAGTTGCTTACAGTGAGGATAGCGCCTGGAAGTGCGAGGATATTGAGTGGTATATAAGCGAGGGCCCTGACAGAGGGGAGGGAATGGGGAGGCGGGGAAGGAAAGAACCAGAGCTTAGCGGCCCGTGAGAGCAACGGTACGCAATTCACAAATAATTTGCGTTCACAGAGAGAACGACGGGTGAATTTTAAAGACTCAGCAACGACATTTCGTAGAGAAATTGTTACAAAGAGAGATTGTTACGAGGGGGATTGGTACGAGCGAAAACTGTTACGACGACATCGTCAGGAGGAGAAGTAGGGAGTAGCGGCACGTACATGATGACGGGACCCCACACGCCCACGTCGTTCTTGAGCCACAGGAGAAAGCTCTTGAGCAGCTGGGAGACGGAGGGGAGAGGTAGGGCGATGGGCGGGAGGCATGACGAGGAGAGAATTGTTCGTCCATCCTTACTATGCACCGCGCCGCTGAACCAATAAGAATACCCCGCAACGGTTAGCTACACATTTCTTAATGGGCCGTTGCCATCGCTAAGCATACTGTAGATAATTTGAATCAAACATATGAAAAGCTCAATCAACACAACAACTCGGCGAAGCGACCCGTACCTGTTCGACGTTGATTGCGACAAGGCCCACAACGACGAATCCTATAACGAGGACGGTGTAGAACACCCGCTTGAGCGAGATTCCCGCCATCGCGGTTCGAAGCAACGAACCGATCATAGCACCTCCGTCGACTTTAGATGATAAACTACGCGCAATTCTTCCTAGCCGTCGATGTGGTGGCAGCTGTGTGGATGGATGGTTAGGATGCGATGACGCTGCTCCATGCTGCTGGCAGTGCCGAAGGCCCTGGTGGGTGTTGGTTCGCGGAGTTACAGATGTCGTCACTTGATTGGAAGACGTCACATGATTAGATTTTGCGGCTATATACGGGTTCGAGTCATTGGGTGATGAGCCTGGAGCCGACACGGTTACAATTGGGGATGCTGACGTGGAAGGGCCTACGGTCTGTGCTGTTGCCAGCACCGCCATGTTGGCGTCAGCAACCACGACCGATGACGTGGATGCCTGTGCTTCTCCGCCATCTCTACCAACAAACATGATGATGGTAGTGACAGAACGACCCGGTGCGGAATCAGAGCGTAGTCGAATGGCAACGAGAGAGAGCTTCTAACGTTCACAATAAGGATAGCTGCTTGACTATCAAACTTCACGCCCAACGTACTATATATACTATACGCAGCTAGGCGAAGAGGTGCTCGAGACGGGATGACTGAACGGAACCGAAGCAAGTCGCCAGGAGAATTATAGTAGTGTCTCAGCTTATTGCTTGAAAGTGATGAGCTTATTGTAGGGAATCAAGTCCACATTCTATGGGCTGCTCTCGTCTCAGCTCAGCAGCCATAGCCTCGCATCACTCACAGACCCACCGCCGTCCCACCGCGCAGCTGCCTTCCGCACAGTTGTGGTCTGCGGTGATCTCTAGGGTTGGCTGGCGCACGAATCCGAGCGGACATCACGGGCTTGGGGCGCACGTCAGGACTTGGTTCGGGTGTGGCCAGCTGTCACAGGGATTCGGACCAGTGAATTCAGTGTGACGTCCATACCACTGGATTTGGCTCGGCCAGGCCGAGATGAAGTGAAAGATGATCATGAAAGCTGGAGGGGTTGTTGGGGATCCGGACCGGACCTGGAAATCATTCCCCCACCCCAGCATGCGCAAACAGCCAGGGGCGATACTTTTTCGTGTAGGTCGTCGGTGGCTAGGGGGCTGACGTGTACATGACGCTTTCACCTTTCTGATAGGTCAAAGAATCCATAGGCTCGATTTTGGCTGTTTGCGAACTCGAAGCAGAAGAAGCAACGGTTGAGTCAGTAACTGTACTTATAACTTGCTCTAAGATACACATCCAACAAAGCCATCCATTATCCTAGGTATGGTACGCTACGCGCATATTCCCAACACAAATTGATGGTATTTCATGCAATCTATGCAATATGCACTGAGAGCGGGCATCAAGCAGGGACTGGCTCTGGCACCAACCCATTGTGCCGAAGCAGGGGCTCAATTGATGGTTGCCTTCCTCGGAACTCAGCAAACACCTGCACAGTAAAACCAAACATATAATGATTTACATGTAAGTTTCCCAGCTGGAAAAAGGGACACGTGTCAGCCTCAAATTGTACACCTTGTGGGAACATGAGACCTCACTACATGGGCACAACACTTCAGTCCTGAATACTCACATCCTTGGCAGCAGCGCCTCCCCCAAGAGCCAGCACTGTGTCTCTGAACTTGTGCCCTGTTGCCTTCACCGCCTGCTCATAACTCGCAACAGATAAGAGCAAGAAATACGGAAGCAACAGAAAGACATCATGGTGAAGGAATTGGGGAAACATGACATGGACACGCAGGAGGAAACCACACGCAGAAGAATCACGCATGGAGTGGAGCTATTGCTATGGCTGACCTGCCCAATCCTTAGCTCACTTCCATGCCCAACCCAGGCAGCTCTGCTCTGTGCCTCACCTCATCGTCAACCAGCCCCATGCCTCACCTCATCGTCAACCAGCCCCATGCCTCACCTCATCGTCAACCAGCCCCATGCCTCACCTCATCGTCAACCAGCCCCATGCCTCACCTCATCGTCAACCAGCCCCATGCCTCACCTCATCGTCAACCAGCCCCATGCCTCACCTCATCGTCATCCAGCCCCGCCTCCTCAAACGCTGCAAAGGCATCCGCTGACAACACCTCCGCCCACTGCCATGGATGGGGAAAAGTGTGACAAAACCGAGTTATACATTTTCCGAGTAGATGTAAGCTTAGACACTACAAGCTCGAAAGCGCATTTCATACACTCTGCAGAAATGGGCGAAACAAAGGCACTCATAAGCGTACCCGTTATAAGCCTCACCTTGTAGCTGTAGTAGCCGACGTCGTAGCCACCGGCGAAGATGTGGAGGAAGGAGCAGAGGAAGCGGTCAGAGGGCAGCGGCGGCAGCACGAGCATGCGCTCGGCCACGCGGCTGTTGACATCGTAGATGGACTCCTTGCCCTCGGGGTCGAACGAGCAGTGCAGCTCCAGATCCACCGCTGCAAAGTGCAGCTGGCGAGGGAAGAGGGGGGAGGAGGGATGGAAAGGAGGGTTGTGAAGCGGCTCAGAGGCTTCAGAGCTCGTAGATGGACCTCTGGCCCTCGGGGTTGAACAAGCAGTGCAGCTCCAGGTCTACCGCTGCAATATGCAGCTGGTGAAGGGGGAGGGGAGGGAGAGGTGGCGCGGGCGTGGAAGGGGCCGGAGGAGGAGAACACAGCAGAAGGCAGTGTGGGGTGTGTATCTGGTGCATGGTAATAGTAGTAGCTTTTGGGGGAGCGCAGAGCCAAGGGAGTAGTGTTATGTGTACCTGGCGCGGAGAGGCAAGTGCGTGTGGTGTGGGTGTACCTGGCGCATGGTCATGGTAGCGGAGCGGAAGTTCTTGGCCGCCACAATCTTGTTGTACAGCTCCTCTGGCAGCACCTCACCCGTCTCATAGTGCCTCGCTATGCCCAGCAGCGTGGCTCTGGAGGGCGCAGAGGGGAAGAGATTGTAGAGGGGGGTCCCATAATAAGTACACTTCACTTGAAGCACATCGGCAGATGGCAGACCAGAAGAGGTGTGGAAAGTGCAAAGCAAAGCACAACCACATGCAGTGGTGGTAGCACACAGACGACACCTGCGGCATTAAGAGCACGAAACAGTACCTGTGGTAGCAGCACACACGCACCTGTGGTAGCAGCACACACGCACCTGTGGTAGCAGCACACACGCACCTGTGGTAGCACCAGTTCTCCATGAACTGGGAGGGCAGCTCCACGGCATCCCACTCCACGTTGCTGATCCCCGCCACCAAGCCCTCCTGCTGCCGAGTCAACATGTGCTGCAGCGCGTGCCCGAACTCGTGGAACAACGTCTCCACCTGCCACCCACGCAAACAAGGGGGAGGAGGAGGGGACGGGAGACCAGGGATTGAGTTGAAGGAACAAAAGAATGCCCTCACAAGCATTACCCTAGCCACATTTTTTCTGGAGAGTCAGGACTGAGCGCAGGCACACATACCTCATTGAAGGTCATGAGGCTGGGCTTATCCCCAAGCGGGGGCGTCTGGTTGCACACAATGTGCGTGACAGGCAGGCGGGCGGCAGCGCCAGGGGCGGCAAAGAGGCCACTGCGGTTGCAGATGCCGTCCATCCACGCGCCGCCGCGCTTCTCCGCCGGGCGCGAGTAGGGGTCCAGCAGGAACGAGGCGACAGTGTTGCCGGAAGAGTCTGTCACCTTGTAGTACCGCACGTCAGGATTCCACGTCTGGAGAGGGCGGGTGGGATGAGGGAGTCAGGGATGGCAAGACTTTCAAGTCGCCTTGAAGCTCACAACAGCGGAGTGCTGTTCTTTCAATAGCACTACTGACAAGCATGGGCAGTGGGCCACACGACAGAGTACAGGTGCTTCCTAGCCACCACCCACAAGCAACCAACCAGCCAGCAGCCCCAGGAACCTCGTTCTTACCGGTGCCTCCCCATCAGCGGGCTGGAAGGAGACATCAAAGAGGCGCGAGGCGAGCTTGAAGAGCCCGTCGATGACAACAGGGAAGGAGAAGTACGGCCGCAGCTCCTCCTGTGTCAGCTCGTACCGCGCCTCCCTCAGCCGCTCCCCCCAGAACGTCACGTCCCACTGCCTCAGGTCGTCTGCTTCCTCCGCGCCCTGCTCCTTGGCGAACGCCTTCAGCTCCTCGTGCTCTGGAGTGGGGGGAAGGGAGAGCGAAAAGGGGACGTTATGAATTGAACAAGAGAAGACTCCTTCCCTCAGCCGCTCCCCCCCCAACAAATCCACGTTTCACTGACAATCATGCCTCTGCTGCAAACTTAAAAACTAATGTCGAGAATTTGAAATTCTAATTTGCCAACAGGGGCCATTCTAGCATGCCTCTGCAAGACTTCAGCCTGCATGTGGCTCACCTTTGACGGAGATGTCAAAGGCCGCGTCCCGGAGGTCCTCCACCAGCTTGTGCGCGCTCTCTATGGTCGCCATGCGCCACTGCATCGGCACCTGCTCACATGCAACGGGGAGTGGAATACAGCGGTTGGCGAGATGGCATGACATACACACTCAAGACTACCAATGCTGCAAGCACCCTGGCCATGCTCAACTGCAGTTGGGTTGAAACAAGTGAGCATGTCGCACGAAGGGAAGAAAACGGCGGCGGTGGGCATGCCACATGTGTGACAGCATGTGTGACAGCATGTGTGACAGCATGTGTGACAGCATGTGTGACAGCATGTGTGACAGCATGTGCCAGCATCATTCAACCGTGTGTTTGCCTCACCCGACCTCTCTCTGTCTCACCTCGGCGTGGGACTCAAAGCCCAGCAGCTTGGCCTTCTCCTGCTTCAGCTGCAGAATGCGCGTGATCACAGGGGTGTTATCGATGTCGCCCTCTGAAGCGCGGGTTATAAAGGCGCGATACACTTCTTCCCTCAAGCCCCGGTTGCGGCAGTGCTGCAGGGGGAGGTGGATGGAGGAGGCGGGAGACAGAACCATGAGACACACGCATGAGAAGCATGACATAAACAGCGGATGATAAATGGTAGTAACGCAGATGAGAGTCACATAATACAAGAGAAAAAGGACAGGGCGCCATGGACAGTGGTGTTCCAGACCTGTGTGAGGCACGGTGTGCAAACATACCTGCATGAGAGGCAGGTAGGAGGGCATGTCGAGAGTGAAGGCCCACGGCCCATTCTCTGCCGTGGCTCCCTCGCGACCCTGTGTGCTCATCGCCATGGTGATGAGAGAAATGTTGCATCGGTGGAAGGCAGGGGCGGGAATGGATGTGAAACGCAGTAAAAGAGACTATACAAGGATATGGAGGAGCAGGGGCCGATGGGGAAGATGTGAATAACATCGGCGGCCAGCAGCAGCAGCTTTCACGCACCTTGCCAACGGCAGTCACGCACCTTGCCAACGGCAGCCTGAGCGGCCAAGCCCAGCGCGGAGGGCGGCAGGCCCGCCACGTCAGCAGGATCAGTGACAATGCGCACGAAGCGTTTGGTGGCATCGAGCACGTTGTTCTGGAACTTGGTTCTCAGCTGCGCCAGCTCCTGCTGTATCTCGTTGAAGCGAGTCTTGGCCTCGCCCTCCAGTGCCACTCCGCTGGTCTTGGCGGATATGAGCTCGGCTGCACGGCAGAGAGGTGGAGGAGCGGCATTTGATGTGAGAGAAGGAAGCGAGTCGCAGGTGCAATGAAAAAGGGTGGATAACTTGACAGGGTGTGCATGAATGGCGGGATAAAGTCGTTATGCTGTGCCCAGGGGTCGCACGCCTAGGCATAACGACTTAATCCTCCTGCATAACCACGAAGTACAGAGCGACTTTTACACACCAGCACCCTTGCACGAACCCACGCCGACCCACCATGCCAGCACACACACACCGACTCACACTCAACAACGCGCTTCTGTGCCACGCTCAAACTCGCCCATGCCGCCTCATCGGCCCTGGTCGCGACGAACGCGTCGTAGAGCGGGCGGCTCTGCCCCAGGCGCAGCGACACACAGTGACCCACACGTTCCAACCCACTTACACTAGCCCACACACCCCAATTCACACTCGACGACGCGCTTCTGGGCGACGCTCAGACTCTCCCACAGCGCCTTGTCCGCCCTGATTGCCACAAACGCGTCGTAGAGCGGGCGGCTCTGCGCCAGGCGCAGCGAGAGCTTGACGACGTCCGGCTGCACCTCCTCGAACGCCGCCCGCAGCTCGTCCGAGTTGCATGCACCACCCCGCACACCCCGACTCACACGCACCAGCAACAAACACCAGCCCACACACACCCACTCACACTCGACAACGCGTTTCTGGGCCACGCTGAGGCTGTCCCACAGCTGCTGGTTCCCCCTAATAGCCACAAACGCGTCGCAGAGCGGGCGGCTCTGCCCCAGGCGCAGCGAGAGCTTGACGACGTCGGGCTGCACCTCCTCGAACGCCGCGCGCAGCTCGTCCGAGTTCTTCACGGCGTTCAGGTGGTTCACCGCGCCCCACGGGATGCTCAGCCGGTCGCCGATTCGCTCCACGGGCTCCACGAGGCCTGCCCACGTGGGCTGCACGTTCTTCTCGAGATTGTCCAGCTGCTCCTCCTGTGGGTGTGGTGGTGAGTGTTGGAATGTGCGAAGCAATGAATTCAATTTGGCATCGAATAATGTGGAACTTTGAATAAACTTTTGTAGATTCTGGAGACGATGACGCATGGAATCACTCGAGGCTGAAACGTCTCTAAGTGGACTGTCATTTCCTCTGCGAATAGAATTGGCAGAAATTTGATTTCCAAGGTTCGCATGAAGTATGTGAAACTCCCCCAAACAAATACGCTCGGAGATTAAATACATTAGACACTGGGGGCTCATACGCCTGACAAATCGACGGCTCAGCTTCTAAAATCCTGAAATTCGAGTGCTCAATCACTTAGATAAACCATTCGTGAGAAACTGGGTGCTCAGACACTGAATTTCTGAGGAATTGGGTTATCAGACTCTACATTCCTGAAAGCTGGGTGCTCGAGCACTTGATTCTTTTACACATTGAGTGCCCAGACTGTAATTCCTTAGACCTCGGGTGCTCAGTTTCTGAAATCTGTAGACATTGGTTGCTCAGACACTTGAAGGTTTGGAGATTGAGTAAGCAGATACCAGACTTACGAGACATTGTGTGCTCTGACTTTCGCTCCCTTGACAGCCCGTGGGCAGAGACACTATAATCCTGAAACGTTGCGTGGCTCTCTCTCTGTCTCTCTCGCTACGTACCACTTCCTTGAGAATGGCGCGCATGCCCGGCACCACGTGCTTGGGCTCGATCTTGTCGAACAGCGGAATCGACGCGAGATTCAGCGACAGAAGCGGGTTCTCCTTCACGTCCGCTGCGGCCTCCGTGGTCGCCGCTGCAGCAGCCATGGTCACTGACGGTCTTGCCCTTGATAAGAAGAGCGACGCGCGTCCTGAATTGATAGCGGACAGATAATTCGGTTTCGCGACAAGGCGGTTCGCGCAGAGAGAGGAGGGAGTCGGCAGCAAGCAGATCCCGACCGTCCGATTGCTGGCCTTGCCGGAGAGCTCGGCTCGCAGTGCGCTAGGAGAACTCTTCAGCGCTGAGGGGACGCTAGAGGAGCACAGAGGCATGGAGAGAGACAGGGCCATAAGCAGTCCGATCTTAGCTCGTGGCGGACGGCTGTGTGCGAGTAACTTGGAGCTTGAGATTGCGAGGTTCAGCATGGCGTGAAGAAATGGCTGCCAGAATTCAATTTCAACATCTGAGATTGGAGCGGAACCGAGCGCAGAAGCAAAACGGGGAATCTGGCCAGAAGGAAGGGTGGAGCGCTGAAGTTGGCGGGGAGAGGAAATGGTCGCGCAAAGGGGGGATCTCCTCGGAGTGCCACGCGGCTGAAAGACGCTGCGCCACGCGAACAGTCTTTTGCGGGGTTGACCAATCAAAGCAGGTTCGTCTCCTCAATTGAACCAAGATGGGTTTCGGTGAACAAGATACAGCAATACCTGCTACCAGCCTCATGTAGAGAGACATGAAATAATTTACAATACATGATATATTCAACCTCACCTGATAAAAGCAGAAGTCTGAGAAACGACTTTCAGTCTTATTTGCATCTTATAGAGATATACATATTGGTTCGCTCATGTTACCAATTGTTTCAGACTATGTCCCGTATCTGGAATGGACATGAAGCATTTATTACACAAAACAGGGTAGTAGTCAGGCTGCTGGAGAAAATCGCCTCCACTACTACTGGGACTGGGAGGACTGGTTGCTGGACGCACGGGGGGGCATTTGCCCACTCCACGGAGGCGACTAGCTGCTTGAGGCACGAAGTCATTATCCCGGCCATTGAAGGCTATGGAGCGAAATGGGAAAGCATTGCTGCCAAACAACACCAAATGGCTTGCAAAGAAAACCATAATTACAACAATGATCCTGAAGAACACATGTCGGTGCTGGGATTCGAGCCCAGATCTCCACGGCCACAACGTGGAATTCTAACCACTAAACTACACCGACTTGTGAGATACTCCCTTTTAACTAAGTGGTTTATATATTGGCTCAGTGACACTCAGCAATATGTGCGTGCACGAGTAGATCCACATCGCGTTAGCGCCAGACACGCCTTATCCTGGGCGTGCATGAAACATACATCCTCACCTAATCTAGACTTTCAATAGATTCCACTCTACACGAGTAAGGCCTAGCAGCAGGAAGCCGGAAGGCCGAGGTGCGTGGTGGCATGGACTGGGGCAATGTGACGGGCGAGGAGCTGCTCGACGCGCTGCGGGAGGTCGAGTGGTCCACGCCGCCTCGCCCGCTCGCGGAGTTCGTGCAGCGCTTCTCCGCGCCCAAGAACGCCAGCAAGTGGCGCAGCCGCTTAAAGTGCAACGCGTACTAGTGAGCGCTCGCTGTTGCCCCATAACGCGAATTCGTTACTCCTCTTGGCTAGTTTCCTCTGTCGTGGTCGGGTAGGTGTCTCACCCTTAGGTTTGGCGATTTTCGAAAGCCGTGCGACGATCGCGATGAGTTTTCGCGAATGTTGAGCTGTGGTGCCGATCGATCCTTAGGAAGCAGTGGGACGATCCGATTTATGGAGGAATACTCTTGTTGACATTCGAGTCGCCTCGAAAGCTTCTGCTCGCCGTCCTCCTGTCAATTAACTTTGCCGTGAGGCTCGGCTTATGGGCTCGAACGTGCCACTCGTGCGTGAAGTGAGCCGATTTTTTAGGTGCCTCAACGATCGACCGTCATCCCAATCCAATGCCCTGCGCGACCCGCTTTGAGTCGTCGCAACTCGTCTAACGTGCCTATCCCTGATTTCTCTCGTTCCCTGCTTTCCGTTTTTGTTTTTTTTTTTTCTCGCCCCCCTGTGTTGTCTTCGTGCGGGTGGCGCAGCTATCGCACCAACTACTACATCCTTGTCTGCTTCATCAACGGTACGCGCAAATCCCTCGCAATGCGTCTAACGGCATTACCGCCCGGAAATCACAAAAAACAAAAAATAGTTGGGCGAGTAAAGAACAATATCTTTTGGCCTCTTGTGCCTCCTATTCCTCCCTTTCCCTTCCGGCCCCCCTGCTCTCCCCTTCCACCCCACCCTCTCCCCTCCCCCCCCTCTCCCCCCCCCCACTTCCCCTCTCCCTTTGCCCATCCGCGGCCAGCCTGCTGTTTCGCCCGTAACCCGCTCGCGCTGTTCGCTGTGCTCTTCGCCGCCGTCGCCTTCGCGAGCCTCAACGACAGGTCAGTCGCGCTTGCTGCCACGGCCGTGTGGCTAGGCTCGACTAGCATCCCCATTTCAGCTCCCTCTTCTCTGACCCCTCGTCGCTCTCTCTGCCCACCATTCTCCCCCCCTTCCCATCTCTGTCTCCACTCGTTCCCACCCCTTCCCCTCCCCTCCCCTCCGCCTCTCCCACCCCTCCATCCTCTTCCCACTCTTCTCCCCGTGCCCTACCATTCTCCACCGTCCACAATTCCTTTCACTCCTTGTTGGAGCTTTTTCCTTGGTTGCCCTCTCCCCATCTCCATTCCCCTTCGTCTTTCCTCATCACCTCCTCCCCCCATCTCCCCTCCTCTCTCCCACACTCCCCATCCCCCTCCTCTCCTCCCCCTTCCCCATCTCCCCATCATCTCCCATTTCCCCCTCCCGCACCCCGCAGCTTCGCGCTGTCACTCAGCGAGCGCCTGACAAGGGCCATTAGAAAGATCTCCCCGCCTCTGGCGGCCAAGCTGCGACCACCGCAACAGTAAGCCATCCATTCTCCACCCGGACGCGCCCACGCTGCTCGCCACGCTCCCACGCTGCTTCCCACGCGCCCATGCTGCTCGCCCTCCAGGCTCTCATGGCTTTGCTGCCGGCTCTTTCACCTCCTGCCCGCCTTGCCCCCATGTGTCACCCCGTCTCCCCCATGTCGTCCGCTATCTCCCCGTCTCATCCCCTGTTTCCTTCCCTCTCTCCCCCATCTCCTCGCCTCTCTCCCCCATCTCCTCCCCCCTCTCCCTCCCCTATTTCTTCCCCCATTCTCTTCCCCTTCTCTGTCCTCTTCCATCTTCCCCCCCCTCCCCCCCCCCCCCCCCCCCCCCCCCCCCCCCCCCCCCCCCCACGCTCTTTTCCGTCCGCCCATATTACCTGCCGCCCTGTTGCATGCCCGCTTGCCCCCCTGTGGGGTCGCAATGCTTCCTCTCTCTCTCCGGGTGCAGGCGAGCGGGAGTGAGGGGGCGGCCGTTGAGAGGCGCCGTGTACATATGTGGGCAGGACAGACGAGTCGCGCTCTTCCTGCTGCTCTTCTGTACGTGCCTTGCCATGCACTCCGTGCCGTGCTTTGCCATGCTGTGCCATGCCATGCCGTGCCGTGTCATGCCATGCACATGCTGTGATGTTATGGTTCGATTTGTCATGCTATGCAACGGTTCTAGTTCCTTCTGCTCCTGTATATTTGGCATGTATGCTTCACTGCTCCTGCTCATACTCTCCCTCTCCCACCCTAACCATCACTCTCACCCTCTCATCTCCCACTCTCAACCTCTCATCACGCACTCACCCTCTCAGCTCCCACTCTCAACCTCTCCTCACACACTCACCCTCTCATCTCCCACTCTCCACAAACTTCGTATTCCTCCCTACATCCTTCTTCCTCCCTACATCCTTCTTCCTCCCCACATCCCTCCTACGCGCCACGTGCGTCATCCCCCCCACCTTACCGTTCGGTACCACCTCACCTCCTCTCGTTCCCACACCTGCTGCTGCCGGCAGTGAGTGCATGGCTGAACTATGTCTCAAGAGCCTACGTCACCTTTGCCGTTGCCTTCACGTCAAGTGTTCTATGTGAGTCAACCCAGTACACATGCTCCCTTCACTGCCTTACAACCCTCAGGCACATAATCATCTGCAGGACTTTGAGTGTCATCTGATTCGTTTCCTTTGTACCACATTTCGTAACCAGGGAGTCTTTGTTTGTAAATGTTTGTTCTATCCCCATACTTCTTGTCTTTGTCAACCCATCCCCCATCCTACACCCACCCCGTCCGCCTGTGCTGCTCACGCATGTACCAGTGGTGGTGGTGCATGCTACCTTCAGGTCCCCCAATCTTAAAGCCCGGCTAAACTCGTACAGAGAGGAGTTCAGGGCTGTGTGGCGGGGCTACAGTGATGCGCCTTGATACAAACACAACGCTACAACACAACAATTTAATCGAAACACTCTAGTGACATTGCTTGGTTCAAGAATTTAGCATTTTAGTATGTTAGCTTTTATCATTTGGAGGTGGAATTGTGCAGAACATTGGCTTATGCAGGCACCATTACGACTTATACAATAAGGTAGTCTTGAAACAAAGTACAGTAGCATAGTAAATACCTTTTCCTACACATTATAATGAGTGCAGTGGTGAACGCCTACCGGGCCCCACTTTTAGAACAAAAGGGTGAGCGAATCCAGCTGCGGGTGGTGCTGCCACACTTGATGTGATGCCACGTGTGTCTTTTGAGACGTCTCAAAAGTGGACTGGTGAACGCCTACCGGGCCCCGCTTTTAGGAGAACGAAAGGGTAAGCGAATCCTGTTGCGGGCAGTGCTGCCACACCTGAGGCCTCAGGTGTGTCGTGAGAAAGATGCGGATGGGGGGAGATTTGGGAGATGCAAATGGGGGGAGATGCATTTGGATCTAAGGTGACGCGGAGGCATGGGGAAAGAAACCGAGCGTGCAACGGCGGGGAGAGTTGCTGAAAGCAAGAGGCGGAGAGGAGAGGTTGGTGGGAAGGTGGGGTAGAGCGTACCTTTACCCCTGCCAGCTCCAGCAGTTTCCTAGAAGCAGCGTAAGCAATGTCCTTGGGGTTGCGAGTGGGTGGCTTGTCTGAGAAGAAAATGACCTCTTTGATCCCCGCCTGCTCACACATGCATGCCCATGCACACACATGCATAGCATGCACACATGCATGTACACACATCAGAGGGCAAGGCTGACTGTTGCTGCTGGGGCGACAGGAGGCACATGGAGGCCGAAACATGGCAGGGAGGCAGGGTGCGAAGAGTGCCGGTAGAGTTGGCACATGGAGGGGGACGCTCATACGCTGCACCGCACGCTCACACGCTGCACCGCACGCTCATACGCTGCACCGCACGCTCATACGCTGCACCGCACGCTCACACGCTGCAGTGCCCGCTCACACGCTGCACCGCCCGCTCACACTCTGCACCGCCCGCTCATACACTGGTGGCACATGGAGGTGCAGGGAGAGGGACGCACCTGGATGATGACTTTAGCGCAGTCGTTGCATGGGAACATGGTCACGTAGATGCGCTGCCATGCCATGCCATGCCATGCCATGCCATGCACACATGGAAAGAAGAGGCACACATGGAGGGGACTATCAGGCATGGCAGGTAGCATCAGAAGGATAGTCCCCTAGCTGACAGGCGCACAATGTTGGTGCTACTTTTGAGAATCCTCAAAAGGCGGATTGGAAGGACAGTAACACCAACATCAGAGGACCAGTTCCCCAGCTGACACGGCACATGCTGGACTGGAAAAGGGGGGCACACCTGGTCTAGCGCGGAGGCGTGGTTCCTGTTGAGCACCGCATTGACCTCCGCATGACACACGTAGCTGGTGAGGCGCATGGGGGATGGGGCGATGGGCGATTGCGGACATGAGGGATGGGATATGAGGGTGACCGATAAAGAGCAAAGGAGGGGGTGCAGGGAGAGGTGTGCAGAGGGTAGTGAGAGGCACATGGGCTGGGCTGAACGAAGGGAAGAGGTTAGAGATACTGTGAGCGGCAGGAGGCAAGCACTCACGGGTACTTGGTTTCGAGTGGGTCGTTGTGTGCTGAGAGCTGCACGTGCAGGGAGAGAGAGAGAAGCAGGCACAGAGAGAGGGACGGAGATGAGAGATAGAGACAGGGGGACACAGGACAGAGTCTGACCAGATTTGAACATGACAACCGAAAGCATGATATGATAATCTCCTAACTGGGCCCACAGCCCACCATGCCCCACCGTGCCCCACCGTGCCCCACCGTGCCCCACCTTGGCCCAGGGCAGAAGGTCATCTGAGATGCCCCGGGGAAAGCCGTTGTACCCAATACCTGCCGGTGGGAGAGGAGAGCAAGAGAAAGGTGAGAGGGGAGGAGGATAGATTTGCAACTTTAGGGAAGTGGAGGGAGAGAAACGATTTGAAAGCGTGAAGTGTGTTGGGGGCAGGAATGGGAGGAGAGGCAGTGATAATGTGAGCATGTGGTGCCGAAGTTAAGTGACTGGCTCATTTGTGTGGTGCTCAGCTCACCCAGAATGACATGGTCGCTGCCGACAATGCATGCTCCAACCTGCACGCACGTATGGGCAATGCAGCCATGCACACATGTGCTGTGAGGCCGGATGCACACATGTGCTGTGAGGCCGGATGCACACATGTGCTGTGAGGCCGGATGCACACATGTGCTGTGAGGCCGGATGCACACATGTGCTGTGAGGCCGGATGCACACATGTGCTGTGAGGCCGGATGCACACATGTGCTGTGAGGCCGGATGCACACATGTGCTGTGAGGCCGGATGCACACATGTGCTGTGAGGCCGGATGCACACATGTGCTGTGAGGCCGGATGCACACATGTGCTGTGAGGCCGGATGCACACATGTGCTGTGAGGCCGGATGCACACATGTGCTGTGAGGCCGGATGCACACATGTGCTGTGAGGCCGGATGCACACATGTGCTGTGAGAACGGATGCGCAGACAGATTTTCAACTTATGTCTGATGAGATAAAACCTGTCTGTTGAAATCACCTGTCTGTTAGATTCACCTGTCCCTTAAAATCACCTGTCTGTTAGATTCACCTGTCTCTTAGAACCACGTGTCTGTTGGAATCACCTGTCTGTTGGAATCACCTGTGTGTTGAATTCACCTGTCTGTTGGGGTCCTTGGATCGTTGAGCAGAGAGGAATGCCACAGCCATGAAGTAATCATCCCATGACAAAAACCTGCCATGCCATGCCATGCCATGCCATGCCATGTCATGCGTGCCGTTCAATGCCATGCCGCCGTGCCAAGCCATGATTCAGGCGGGATAGGAAACGCCAAATGCAATGTCACAAGGATGCTTCATCCATGGACCGTCGCCATTCACCCTGAAACGTCTGAAGCACGACGTGTGGGCACAATGTACAACACCACCTGCGCAGCAAGTCGCACACCACACTCCACCACGCACCACCACGCACCACCACGCACCTCCATCGCCATCGCGTTTACACGAATCGAAGTCAGAGCCTTGCCAGCATGATTCGACGCACGCCCTGCCCGCTTACCCGTTCCTTTTCCTCGCATCATAGGGATCGTTTTTCTTCGGGTGTTGCTTCCCCGTCCCTTCTTCCGCGGCTCCGCCATCGTTCCCCTCATTCCCCTCCCTTTCCCCGCCTTCTCTCTCCGCCGCCCGCCCAACCTCTGCGCACCCTCCCACCGTGGCGCAACGAGTGATCGCCATCCGGGGGGCAACGTCTCTCCTTCGCTGCTCTCCATTCCCGTGCCGCTCTTCGCTGCTCTCTTTCGCATTTTCATCCACGTGCTGCGCGCGTCCTTCCCCTTGCGCGTGGCTTCCCCCTTGCGCGTGGCATTCTTCCTGCGCGTGGCCTTCCCCTTTCCGCAACATTATCGGTTCCGCAACCGGCGTATCCCCGCACTGCCCTCCGCCAACGGCGCAATCGCTCCGCTGGTTATCGCAGGGGGCGCAAGAATCACGACAGCGGCTGCACTGCGCCGGCCTATCAGCGCGCTCTTGCCCGCGCTCCTGCGCAGGCTCCGCCGACCTGGCGCAGCGACAGCGCGCCACGTCAGGCGGGGAAATGCTAGCGGAGGCGGCGGATGCTCGGGAGCGCGCGAAGCGGGTGGCGGAAAATGCGGCGGCAGCAACGGCGGCTCCGACCACGGTTCCCGCAACGGCGGCGAGGAGGACGTCCGACGAGAGGGGCGCGGGCGACATGGTTGTAAGCATTTACCGCAGGTACCGAAGCAGTAGCTATTTCAAATGGTTTGATAGCTTGATGGTCGGAGACTGAGGAGTATCGAAGGGTGATCGCTTCTAGAGCTGCTTGCTGTGATGTGATGCGTGCTGTGGCCTGGCTGTGAGCCTTTCACCAATGGCCCCTTGTCAGAGTTGGGTAATATCGATGTGGGGCATTTGCTCGAATATTTGAATTCATGAAACGGGATTGGCTGCTGACTTGCTCTTGCCTTGCACCTACGATATGTTTCGCCGCATGTAACAATTTCGTTAAACTGTTACACGCAATTTTTTTACACGAGTTCCACTGTTTCCCTAAGAGGTAATTTGTTCGGAGCAGAAGTGCAGATTCAGCAACTCCCACTATTTTTAGTCCAGATTTTTTCACCTTGGAACCTGGCCACTAGGATTTCTCTTCGTAATTTTCCAGGACCCACATTAGAATCTCGAACGCACCTTCCCAGCAACACGTCGTCTTTTCGGAAAGCACAGGACTCGCAAGTGGCTTCGTGCCGCTACGCGCAACCCAATCCAATCCTTCAGCAGTCATCGCCTCGTATCTGCTTCAACAACCGCCCGCCGCGCCCGTGCAATGTCGGCGGTCGACGCGGCGTGGCAGCGCCTCAAGGCCGCCACCGCGCCCGCAGCCATGGCGGGAAGCAGACTCTCCGCCGCTTCCGCCGCCGCACCTCCCGCACAGCCGCGCGGAGATGGAGGCGGAAGCGCAATAGCCGCCGCTTTAGACGGTGGAGCGGCAGGTTCCGCGGATCTTGCGGTGCAAGCGACGGCGGGAAATCCGGGCGAGACGGTGAAGCTGCGCGACGCGCGCGTGGAGCTGATTCTGACGCAGCGGCTGCGGCAGCGCGGGGCCGCGCAGACGGCGAGCGGCGGCAGCGCGGCGAAGAAACCCGTCCCTGTGAGTGGCGCGCGCGAGGTTCAGTGCGGTGCTGCGATGTGTAATGCTTTGCTACCGCCACAGCCACAGGCTGCCGGAATCAGGCAGATCAGGTGCATAAGTGCCCCTCTCAACGTCCCCTAACGCTCCTCACCTCCACGTCGTGCCTCTCACACACCCCCCCTCCCCTCCCCACCTTCTGCGTCCTCCCTTCCCCCAACCTTCAGTCGTGGGTGTGGGACCAGGGCTTGAAGCCCCTTACCGCTCCTCACCTCGTGTCTCCCACACCGTCACCACCCCCCCCCCCCCCCTCTCCCCACCTTCTGCCTCCTCTCTCCCTCCCTCCATCGTCCAGTCGTGGGTGTGGGACCTGGGCCTAACGCGTTGACTTTTGAGTCGACTCAAAAGTCATCGTCCAGTCGTGGGTGTGGGACCTGGGCCTAACGCGTTGACTTTTGAGTCGACTCAAAAGTCATCGTCCAGTCGTGGGTGTGGGACCTGGGCCTAACGCGTTGACTTTTGAGTCGACTCAAAAGTCATCGTCCAGTCGTGGGTGTGGGACCTGGGCCTAACGCTTCTCACCTCCACGTCGTGCCTCTCACACCACCCCCCTCTCCTCCCACCTTCTGCCCGTCCCCCCACCCCCCAGTCGTGGGTGTGGGACCTGGGTCTGAGGCCCCTCCCACACTCTGCCCCCGATTCGGATGCTGCTGGCAGTGACGCGCGGGGAGAGAGGAGCGGTGGAAAGGTGGCTGGGGGAGCGGAAGGAGCATTGGGGAGTGCAGAGAGGGGGGGGGCGGGGCAGGCAGAGGGTAGAGGGGATGATGGGGTGCGGGAGGGGGGGAATATGGAGGTGGACGAGGGGAATGGTCGAAGGAGTGGGGAGGGGAACAAGGAGGGGGACGTGGCAAGAGAGAATACCACTGCTGCTGCAGCAGCAGGTGCAGAGCGGGCGGCAGCAGCAGCGGCGGCGTTGAGAGCGACACAGGCAGCAGCAGGGGGGGCAGTGGTGGACGACTCCAAAGTGCAGGTGCGTGCAGGGGGACAGGGGGATTAGGGAGCTTCGTCCTGGTACTTGTGGCGATCCTTCGAGCTCTTTCCGCTGAGCCTGTCCCTCACACCTCCCCATGATTTGTTTATTCAACTCTACTTGCTCTGGATCTTGATGCTGCCCCACTGCGCATTGCCCCCGGGCCAATGCACGTGCTACAGGTGCGGGAGGTGGTGGACTTTGCAGGGGAGGCGGTGGAGGTGGTGCGGGTGCTGGACGCGCGCTCTAAAGAGGCTGCTGCTGCCAAGCGCAAGGCCGACATGCAGGTGAGGGAGAGAGGCAAGAGGAAGGTGAGAGGCGAGAGGAAGTGCAATGAAGCAGCCTCTGCTGCATGGGGCAAAGCAGGTGAGCGCCCATGTTCCACTGTCGTCGCTTGCCCTTCACTCATGCTCTCAAGAGTGCTCTCCCTCTGCTGCTCCACGCCGCGTCTCCACTCCACATCCTCCCTCTCCCCTTCCTGGCCTCACCCCTCCTCGTTCTCTCTCCCCTCCCCGCCCTCTCCCGTCACTGCCCTGTCCCCGTCCCCCGCATGGCTGGCAGGCGTTGACATCGAAGGGGTTGGACGCCATATTGGCGCAGATGGAGAAGAAGAAGAAACTCAGCTCAACATCCTTGACAAGTCGCTGCTGCTCCACAACCCATCTTTACATCCTCTCTCTCCCCTCTCCGCCCTCTCCCGTCCCCCGCATGGCTGGCAGGCGTCGACATCAAAGGGGTTGGACGCCATACTGGCGCAGATGGAGAAGAAGAAGAAACTCAACATCCTCGACAAGTCACGCAAGGTGAGCGAGCCGTGCAAGGTGTGTGCCCGGGCTGAGAATGGACAAGTCACGCAAGGTGAGTGCACACAAGACAGGACGTTCTGAGCATTCTCAGAGTGCGCGTAATGCACGGACGAGAAGCGGTAGCCTAACGGAAGAGTGGTGACGGCGAGTGCTCAGTCTGTAAGAGATCCCAAAAACTGATTCCACGACACGCAGTGTGGTTGCAAAGGTACCAGAGAAGCAGTGTCACTCCCACTCATGTAGCTCTGCCCTTTCTCCCCCTCCAACCGCCCGCCCATCTTCCAGGACTGGAGCGAGCACAAGGAGGGAGTGGGTGTGGCAGTGCGGTTGGAGCAGTGCAGCACTGGCCTCTTGCTCCCTCTCACTCCATCCCCCCTTTCCCAAACCTCCCCGTCCTCTGCTGCCCACCAGAACTGGAGTGAGTATAAGGAGGGAGCTGGTGTGGTGGTGGAGTTGGAGGGGCATCGCAGGAGCACTGGCCTTCGCCTCTCACTCCATCTCCAACCACCCTTTCTCCCCACCCCCCATCGCACAGGACTGGAGTGAGTACAAGGAGGGCACGGGCGTGGTGGAGGAGTTGGAGGAGTACAGGAGGAGCGGTGCCACGTACACGGAGAAGAGGGCGTTTCTGGGGCAGGCTGACCTGCGCGAGTACGAGCGCGAACGCGATGCCAAGCTGGCTGCGCAAGCCAGGAGAGCACGGCCGGGGGGAGTGGATTGAGTGGGTGGAGGTGGGTGGGGTGGAGTGAGTGGTAGAAGAGGGCTTTTCTTCAGGGGCTGGCCGGCATGCGCGAGTACGAGCGCGACGCCAAGCTGGCTGCTCAGGCGAGGAGACCACGGCCGGGGGGAGTGGAGTGAGTGGGTGGAGTTGGGTGAAGGTTGGTCGGGTGGAGTGGGTGGGAGAAGAGGGCTTTCTGGGGCAGGCTGACTTGCACGAGTGCGAGCGCGACGCCATGCTGGCTGCTCAGGCCCAGAGACCGCAGCCAGGGGGAGTGGAGTGAAAGGGTGGAGATGGTTTGCGGTGAGTGGAAGGCGGTGGAGTGCGGCCTGGGGTGGGGAGAGGTGCAAGTCAGGAGTGCCGCCTGACTGGTGCTCTGTGCAGTGGAGGCCCCCCTTCGTGGGAGTGCTGTAGGCCTGTAACACACTCTTTAGAAGTGGGACTTGTTGCCTTCGATAGAAAATACTACATGCAGTTCGAATGTGTTTCCTCCCAAGGCAAAAGCTTCAGGTTGAGGCACTTTACATGGAGATTATTGGAGGTTTTAACTGGGATGACAACAAGCCTGAGGGCTCTCAAAATCCTGAACCTGTGTTGCTATGTGATGTGATGCACTCTAACTTGTAAGGGCCGTTTATTGGAGGCACTAAGGCAGTGCCCCTATCAGCATGGCTGCTCACCCTGCTAAGCCCAGGCACATTATTACGATTGGACCCTCTACGCCCCTACAGGAGAACAATGCCTTCCGGTTCTTGTCTTCTGCTGCTGACCCCTTTCCCATCACAACACCACACCACACTAACCCACTCCACACCACACCACACCACACCACAACACACCACACCACACCACTCCACACCACACTGCACTACACCTGCTGCCTTCCACCTACCTGCGTTAAACCTTCCCAAGAAAACCTTCACGCTGCTTGGCACTGCGGTAGGCGCAGCAGCCAACAATGTAGATAACGAGCAGCAGCAGCGACACGCCCAGGCATACAAACGCCACAATGCGCCACTGATCGCGCAACATCTTGAGGAAAGCCGCCTTGCACGTGTCGCACCCGTAGCACAGCTTCGTGGGCTCGCTGCCGTACACCAGGCAGTCGCCGGTGAAACTGCCAGTTGAGATCGTGGAGTTGACTGTGGAAGCGAGCGCGGCGGCGGTGGCTGCGGTGGCATTAGCGGCCGAGGTGTTGGTCGGGAAGGCTGCGCGCGAGGTGGCGGTGAGGGACGCGGAGGGGCAGGACTGGGGGGGATAGCAGCAACCGGCCTGGGGAATGGGCGGGTGTGGGAGGTCGGGTGGAAGATCAAGGAAAGAGAAACGAAAGAATGAGGCCTCGACTCGTGGTGTGGGTTCTAAGACAAAAGACCGAGCAACCACCATGAACCGGTGATGATAGCGATAGTGAGCCCATCTGTGGCACCTGGATAGGGGAGAGCGCTGAGGACGCAATCGTGTTGGTCTGGCTGAGCACGCCGCACGTGTTGCCCGCCGCGAGGCACGCCTGGATGGGCGCCCACTTGGACTGCTCCGTGACTTGGTTCTGTAGCCACGTGGAGAAATCCGTCGTATTCCATGAACCCACGGCCTTGTTCGACACCGCGTCCGCCGCCGCCTGATTCGTCACGATGAACGCGAACGCTGCCGCGCGACAATACCGGATGTGGGGTTGGAGGAGCGTGAGGGAGGGCGAAGGGAACGGTATGTGACGTGGCTCTCGTCTACGAAAAGGATGGGTGCGCAGTGGAGCTCGCAAAGTTAAGCTTAAACAAGTGTGAGTATCGAAGTTGGGCAGAAGAGTATAAGAGGGCTTCGTGTTGTACTACAATCGTACCTGTGAATCCGAGGAGCACCCATATAGCGATGAAGACTACAGCGAGGTAGAGGAAGAGCAGCCATGCAATGTCGTTAACGGCGCCAATAAACCCGGCAAGAGCCACGGCGAACAGCACGCTGCCGGCGAGTATCAGCGGGATTCGAATGATCTGCACGCACTCTGTCGCGCCGGCGCTGCGACTCGACGGGAGGAAGGGACACGAATTGAAAAATAGTGGGTTGAAGAGTCTGCGTTAGAGGTTGCTGGCGTGGAGGAAATTCAGTCATAACACTAACAATCATAAGCATCCATACTCTTTAGCAGCTCCTCACTATCCATTATAGTTACCGGGTGGTCATCCATATGCCTGTACCGATGAGGACTATCGACAACAAAACGACTAGCGCCGTCGTTATCGCCGTCAGCGTCTTCGCGACACCCATGGAGCTTGATTGCGATTAACTTGGACCAGAAAGATGTCACACACGGGATTGAATCTGTCGATACACACAGAGACTGGAGAGTGACCGGTGATGAAACTTTCAGGTGATGAAGTGGCCTCGAGGCTGTATGATATAGAATGGATGTCGAGTGCGAAGATATTCAGCTTTCCCATCGCAGTCCTCGCACTACGAAATCCGAGATCTTGGCGTCGTTTCTTTGAAGATTACGTGCGAAAGAAGAATCGCTGCGCACGCAAGGGCGAAGCGAGGAAGGCCAGGCCGACTAGGACAGCGACGACACGGCAAGAACGGAAGGACTGAGATGCATTCAAGGTGGTGAGCACAGCAGAGGTGGCCAGTAATGCAGCAGAAGAAATATACATTCCTTGATTCTTGCGCGCCACGAGATGCATTCAAGGGGGGCTTGATCGGAAATATTTGGGCTGTGATGGGTAACCGGGCAGAGGCTTCAAGACGACCTCCCATCCCAGGTCTACCGCTGTGTCGCTTTACGCGAGTTGTGTCATCAGCGAAATTCGTTAGGTTTCGCCTCGTGCGATGGAAAAGCATACTTTAATAATGTGGAGCAGAAGAGTCTGAGAGCTGGGGAGGGAAATCACGCAGGGAAAACATGTGAATGGTAACAGAAATGGGGCTCACTAACCATTACAAAAATGTTTTCAACGCATTTAAGAGAAGAGTGGAGTCCAAAAGTGTTTTGTAAGAAAAAACTTCAGATTAAGGCTACTATGTGGACATTAGAATGGAATTCAAAGCAGGCTAACAAGCCTGACGAGTCCTCCAGATACTGAATCTATGGTGCCCTGTGGGTACCGTACATATGTGCCACCATAACTTGCAAGGGCCTTTTATTGGAGGCACTAAGGCAGTGCCTCTTATCAGTAGGGCTGCTCACCCTTCTCGGGCTGCTAAGCCTACACACACTCATTATTTGCACTCCTCAATACTACCCCTCCACTGGAACACTATTCCTTCCTCCCACTTGTGCTCTTCTCCTGCTGGATCTCTCTTCCAACCTCACCTCCCCACTTTCACCACAACAAAGCACCTCATCAAACCGCACCACACACTGCACTACACCTGCTGCCTTCCACCTCCCTGCATCACACCTTTCCAAAGAATCCCTCCCGCCTCTTGGCGCTGCGGTAGGCACAGCAGCCAACAATATACACAACAAGCAGCAGCAGCGACACGCCTAGGCACACAAACGCCACCATGCGCCACTGGTCGCGCAGCGTCTTGAGGAACGCCGCCTTGCACGTGTCGCACCCGTAGCACAGCTTCGCCGGCTCGCTGCCGTACACCAGGCAGTCGCCTGTGAAACTGCCGGTTGAAATTGTCGAGTTGACTGCGGAAGCGAGAGCAGCGGCGGCGGCGGCGGCATCAGTGGTGTTCGCGGGGAGGTCTGCGCGCGAGGTGGCAGAGAGGGGTGCGGAGGGGCAGGACTGGGGGGGGTAGCAGCAACCGGCCTGGGGGAGGGGCGGGTGCGGTGGAAGAGGTCAGCTGGAAGGTGAACGGAACAGAAACGAGTAAATGAGAGGCGCTGATTTTCTAAAAGAGAAGGTGTAAATCGAAGCCGAAATAGTGAATAAAATGTGAGCGGCATGTGCTGGCACCTGAATGTGAGCTGGTCTGTGGTACCTGGATGGCGGTGAGCGACGAAGAAGCAGTCGTGTTGGTCTGGCTGAGCACGCCGCACGTGTTGCCGGCCGCGAGGCACGCCTGGATGGGCGCCCACTTGGACTGCTCCGTGACTTGATTCTGTAACCACGTGGAGAAATCTGTCGTTTTCCACGAGCCCACGCCCTTGTTCGACACCGCGTCCGCCACCGCTTGATTTGTCACGATGAACGCGAACACTGTCGCGCGCGCACGCCGAATGGGGGAGGGTGAGGGGAGCGGTGTGTGACTTGGCTCTCATCTACGATGGATAGTTGTGAGAGCCGCGGAGCTCGCAAAGTTAATCTTAAATAAGTAGCGAAGGTGGGGTATCTACAAAAGGGACTTGAAATACTTTATATACCTGTAAATCCGAGGAGCACCCATATAGCGATGAAGACTACAGCGAGGTAGATGAAGAGCAGCCATGCGATGTCGTTAACGGCGCCGATGAACCCGGCGAGAGCCACGGCGCACAGCACGCTGCCGACGACGATCAGCGGGATGCGAAGAAACTGCACGCACTCCGTCGCGCCGGCTCTGAAACTCGACGGAAAGAACAGACGAAGCGAAAGGACGTTTGAACAGTCCGCGACAAAAGGTTCTCGACTTGAAGAGTTTTCAGAAATTGTACAAAAAGACATAATTCGATCTGCATGCGTTCATAACCTTACTAGGCTTCCTAGTATCTATGCAAGCTTACCGGGTGGTCATCCATATCCCTGTACCGATGAGGACTATCGACAACAGAAGGACTAGCGCCGTCGTTATCGCCGTCAGCGTCTTCGCGACACCCATGGAGATCAGTAAGGAGCAGCAGCTGGAGTGGTTAGAAACTGGAGGCTATTTCCGACTTAGAGAAATTACTTCAGAAGTGGATTGAAGTCTGAAGATATACACCCGGGAACTGGAGCGTGTCAGGCGAGGACAGAGATGCTCGAGGGTCGAGAAGACAAGATTAAGCCTCCAGCTCAATTTGCGCTCTGCGAAATTCGGAGCCTTGGCGTCGTCCTTTTATATATTTCGCACGAGGGAAGAAGCTTTGCGCACCAGACAGGTCTCGCGGCAAGGGCGGTGCGAGGAAGGCCAACTAAAGACAAGCGACGACACGGCAAGCACGGAAAGAGCGAGATGCTCTTGGCGATGAGAGCAGCAGCAGAGGGGTGAGGTGAACGAGAAATTGTCAATTCCCGATTCTTCCGCGCCACGAGATGAACTCGAGGGGCGCTCGCAATTATTTGAGTGCAGGGTAACCAGGTAGAGGCTTGAAGACGACTTCCCAAAGATGGCAGTGTGTCGCCAGCGAACTGGTGTGCGACGAAAACCTCGCTAAATTCCGCCTAGTGCGACGGAAGAGCCTACTTCAATAATTGTGAAGCTCAGGAAGCGGGGTGGGAATCATGAAAGAGGTTCGCTACTGAGCGCATTGCACCCAGAAGATGCGTCTGGGGCCATAAAATGGTCCCATCCCATGAGCATCTACCACAGCAGAATCATTATTACATCTAGAGTCTATGAAGTCCCAAAACTGGTTTAGTGTGTGCTTATTGCCCAATGACAGACCCCAACTTCAACAAAAATCCTCCTAGTCACTTACCCTCTCGTTCTTCGCACCTTTTTCCCAGCCCAGCTCCCCGTCCCACTCCCTTAAAAGCAAACAGAGGTATCACACATGTGTCTGACCACAGTAGATTGCCCCTATGTCTCCTCTCATACACATTAGCCCCATCGCACACACAGTGCGACCCACTAGTCATACATGTCCATGTTACCGCCCGCTTGTGCCTCCACATCCTCAACCTGGGGTGGCGGCGGCAGCGGTGCTACCGGCTGCGGGGAGGTCTGCGGCCTCTCCTGGGCACGTGCAGGCGGAGGCGTTTCCATGTACTCACCGCCTTGCCCAACATTCCCACCTCCCTCCGACCCCCAGGTCTCCCTTCGCGCATGTCCTTCCCCAGGCTCCGGTGTCCTCCCCCCTCCGCCTCTTCCCGCCCGTCCCCTTCCACGTCCCCTCCCTCGCCCGCGCCCTCCCCCTCCCCGCGGAGTCCTGGCCTCCCCGGGAGGCGGGTTGCTGGCGCTCCAGGTCCTGTTCCTCTCCAGATCTGGTTCGTCCATTCCGAAATCGCTGTTACGCGGCGATGGCATGTCGCCGATCCTCCCATACCCCTGGTGCTGCCCCCCACCGCGCTTCCCCTGCTGAGACATCGGGCGGCTGAACCCATCCCGACCACTCTGGTAAGTGTTTGCCCGCTGAAAATCCGGCTCCCCACCATAGCTCTGGTAGGTGTTGACTCGATTGAAATCGGGCGTGCCCTGGCTCTGATACGTGTTGACCCGGTTGAACTGAGGCCCGCCCTGGCTCTGGTACGTGTTCACGCGGTTGAGGTTCGGCCCTCCCTGGAAGCTGGCAGTGCGGCTCATGCTCACACCCCGGTCGTCCAGAAGCCGCCTCTTGTCGTCGTTGCGCCCCCCCTTGCCCCACTGCGTGCAGCACATGACCATGGCCACCAGCAGCATCGTGCACGCCACTCCCACGCCGAAGTACGCCTCTACAAGCAGATCCGATTTGAGCTGCTGTAGCACGCCGCCCTTGCAGTACTCGCAGCTGTAGCACAGCTGGTTGGACTCCAGGCTGAACGCGCTGCAGTTGCGCGGGTCGCGCAGGACAGCAGCGGCGGCGGCAGGGGCGTTGTCAGTGATGGGGTGGGCGTCAGTGGAGGGGAGCTCGAAGGCAAAGGAGAAGAAGGTGGGCAGCGAGGAGTTCACGAAGCAGTTCTCTGGCGGCATGCAGCACCCCGCCTGCCAAGCCATGGGGGAATGGGGAATGGGCAATGGGGTTGGGGCAACAAAGAATGATTGAGGTATGAGCAGAGGGAGAATTGGGGATGCGAGAACAATGGAAACAGTGCATGCTGCCAGCGCATGACTATGTAAACATCGCACGCAGTGAATGAAAGCAGGCATGCAGTGCATGCAAAGGGTCCATCGAGTAAGCAGCCCCCTTCCCCTCACCCCTCCCCTTTTTCCCCTTCCCCCCCCCCACATCTCTCCCCCCTTCCATACCCCTCTCTCGCGCGCGCACCTCGAGCGGGGAGAGCTGTTTCCCCTGCAGCTGCGCAGCCGAATAGTCGCGCAGATCACCGCACGTGTGGATGTCTTTGAGGCACGTCTGCCCCCATCCTTCCCATTCCCCGCATTCCCCCCCACCCTCCCCCGCCCTCCTTCCCCCTTCCCCCCCACACTCACCTCGAGCGGGGAGAGTTGTTTCCCCTGCAGCTGCGCGGGCGCGTAGTCGCGGAGGTCGCTGCACGTGTGGATGTCTTTGAGGCACGTCTGCAGCGCGCTCCACGTGGCGTCGTTCCACACCTGCTGCTGCATCCACGACGAAAACGTCGCCGGCGCGTACACCGTCTGCCCGCGGCTCTTCTCCGCCGCGCCGCCCGTCGTCACCACGAACGCGAAGACTGCGCGGAGAGGGGGGGACGAGGGAGGAGGTGGGGAAGAGGGGGTGGGGGAAGGGAAAGTTCGGGGGACTCAGCACGATACCGAAGGTTTATGAATGGTTGTAGAGGCGGGCTATAGAGAGCGTATGCATCTTTTGCCGGTGCGAGAGTGCTTGCGCACGATTTTTTTTCACTTTCGCGCGGGAAATTTCGATTTCGTCAACCGACCCATATTCGCCATAATCGGAAGGGCTGAATGTGTACCCTCGCATTTTGGCGCCCTCTTTTGTAGACCGACCAACTTATTTTTACCTGAAGACGGCGCGACTACGTGCGCATTGGTGTCGGCGAACTAATGGCTGTAAAATGCGGCGTAAACACTTGAAGCGCGTACTGGTGTATTCCGACTAATGGTTCTAAAGGCAGCGCGAATAGCAAGCGCGTACTGGTGTAGCCGATGAGCGCGAGGAGGCCCGCGACGGCGAGCAGGAGGTGCAGGCAGCCCAGCCCGCCGTGGTCGCACGCGAGCCCCACCAGCCCGACGATTGCGGCGAGCAGCAGCACCGACGCGATCACCACCAGCGGTATCTGATAGCCTATCAAACAGCTGCTCGCTGGCGTGCTGCGCGGATGCGCGGCGCGCGGATGGGGGAGGGGAGGGGCGCGGAGAGGGGGGTGGGGTGGGGAGGGGTAAAGGGAAGAGGGGAAAAAGGGGAAGAAGGGGAAGATGGGGGGGGGGGGGTTGAGGGCGGATGAAGGGACACCAAGAGGCGGATCGCAAGCAGCGCAGCGGGGATGAGCGGCGACGGCGCTCGGCAGGCGCGGAGGGCGGCGGTGAGTTCTTTAAAGATTAGTAAGTCGAGAGCAACGCGGCGCTGGGAAGGCGCGAATGGGAGATTCATCGGCGCGCATCGAAGGACGATAAGGGATGGAAATGTTATTGTCGGGCTGTGTAGCAAAGCAGAACTTTGTGCGGTGCGAGAAACGCGGTGCGGTAGATGAGAAAAGCTGGTAGTAAGGGTATCAATAACAGCGGCGAATTATTTTAAGCGCCGCATTTTTCAGGCGGCGATGGCGGATGCAGTAATTGGGGTATCATCATCGGGATGGCGCATCAAAAGGCGCGACGCGGCATCGGATTAGCATTACTAGTAGCTGACCTGAGCATGGCCCACAGGCACGTGCCGAGAAGCACGAGCGACATCAGCAGCATCGACGCGTGCGACACCGACGACAGACACCTGTCATTCGCCATCGTCGCCAACTTCTGTCGCCGCGCTCGCAATGCAGCCCTAAAATCTACGACGCGCAGGACGACGAGAGCCGATTATGAAGAGATCGCTCGAGCGTCGCGGGAGCGCTAGCTCATACTACAGTGGCTAAAATTCGCGATCTCCCATGCGACGAGGTCAGTGCCACCCTTCGCGCCCTTGCTTCGCAAGCTCACTCAAACTCCGCTGCTGCTTGTAGCCCTTGGAAGTCACTGCGGCTTTCAGCGCTACTTGTCACGCACGACTCAACACACACCACACGAGCATTCCGATTTTCTAGCATGGCGAGGCGACTATGGGAGGGATTTGGTTTGGAGGGAGTGATGGGGCGGGTTGAGTGTGCGAAAGGAGAATTACTGTACTGGCTTTCTACGACACTCGCCTACAGTATGCGGCGTCGCAAATGACCCCATGTATTCGCAGGGTGTTGGCGAACGTCGTGCGAAAGGCTGTATTTTAACGCGCTAGGCGGCGGCGAGTGACAATCGCTGCACTGTACAGCGAGTGTACAGTGGAGTCCAGACCAGATGTGGTCCAGACGGAAAACGACAATGCAGTCAGGTCAAATTTCAGGGACCGAGTTTCGAAAGTCGGCCATTCATTTCAATACCGGAAACATCTTGAGTTGTTTAGTGTTACGGGTGCAATGAATCGAAGTAGCGAGAATTGCACTAAGGTGTCAAACGAGTACAAAGATGTGAGCGAAGGCATGAGCGAACATTTATATGCGAAGCATGCAAACGGTAACGCGGTGCGTGCGAGCTAGCCAGTGCTATGCTGGCAGCGAGGCTCGGGCTAGTCCCGAAGCGTAGGCCGACACGGCCGGGCCAGCAGTGCGAGGTTTGGTGAAACAGTGCGCGCGAAGTCGGCGAAGTTCCGTTAGCAGTAACGGGCGAACAACGGCTGTTGCTGTACGCGATGTAGTCGGGCTCCGTAAGGAATGCCGAGAAAATTCCTTACACTACCCCCCCCCCCTCAAGAAGCCCCCTCCGCTACGCGAGTGCGTGTATGTCGCGGAATCCCCGGCTCCTCAGGTACACTTGCAGGGCAGGGTGGTTTTCAATGTTGGCCAGGGGCACCCAGCTATCCTCAGTTGGCGTGCGGTCCTTCCAGCGAACGAGGAATTCAATCCTCCTGATTCCCGTGGGGTGTCGAATCCGATGGCTCAGGATTTTTTCGGGCTCGATGATCGGCTCTGATGCAGGGCGAGTCATGGATGGCGGGCGGTGGCGAGGCAATTGGCTTGTGGTTGGGATGTATGGGCGAAGCAAGCTGACGTGGAACGAAGGGCTGATGTACCAGTCGGTCGGTAACAGTAGGTGCGCGGTTACTGGCGTGATCATGTGGCTGATTTGGAATGGGCCACAGTAGCGAGGTCGCAGTTTTGGTACGTCGGGCAGTCGCAGGTTTTGCGTGTCGAGCAGTACGTAATCCCCTGACTGGTAGGTGACGGGTCGGCGGTGGCGGTCGGCGTTGCGCTTAGCGATGACATTTGCTTTTTTAATTGCTTCTGCAGCTCTGGTGCGGGCAGCTTGCAGAATTTCGGCGAATTGTTGTGCACGTGGTGTCGGATTGTCCGGACTCGGCGTCATGGGCACTGTAGGATTTTGCCCGTAGTTCAGGTAGAAGGGGGACTGCTGCGTCGTCGCTGACGTGGCGTTGTTGTACGCGAACTCGATCAGCGGCAGCTGCTGTTCCCAAGTCGTGGGGTCGTCGCACGTGGCACGAATCAACTGCTCCATCGTCTGATTCGTCCGCTCCGTTTGGCCGTCGGTCTCGGGGTGGTACGACGAACTGAACTGTAGCCTGGTCCCGAACTGCTCCCAGAGGTTTTTCCAGAAGTTGCTGGTAAACTTCGTGTCCCTGTCGCTGATAATCGCTGCTGGTATCCCGTGCAGGCGAACAACGGCTGCGATGAACAGACGAGCGGTCTCCTCGGCTGAGATCGACTTTTTGCACGCAGCGAAGTGTGCCATCTTCGTCAGCCTGTCAACGACGACCATCACCGCGTCGTTACCCCCAGGGTTCGAAGGTAACCCTGTGACGAAGTCCATGGTAACCTGCTGCCAGGCGCGCTCGGGCGGTGGTATCGGCTGCAATTGACCCGCCTTCCGCTTCCTCGAGCTCTTCATCACCTGACACGTGGGGCACGAGCCCACGTGCTGCTGTACGTCGGTCAACAGCTCCGGCCAGTAATAATACCGCTGCAGTTGCTGTCGCGTTTTTTCTACCCCAAAGTGTCCCGAGGTAATTCCGTCGTGTGCCTCCTGCAGTAGCAGCTCCCTCAGTAGTGAGTACGCAGGTACCCAGATGCGGTTGGTGCCTGTTTTTACGTAATAAACTCCTTTAGCTTCTGCCAGTTGCTGTGAGTTTCCAGTCGTGAAAAATGGGTCGGTGCGGTATCCGTGGGTGAATAGGCCTGTTAACAGTGGGTTGGTCTGGGCGAGTAGGATGGCGTGGAGTTGGGCGGTAGGGCGGGTGAGTGTGTCGGCGATGTTGGATGCGTCTTTCTTGTACGTAACTGTGTAGTGGAAGTTGGACTCGAGGTAGTCCAGCCAGCGAATTTGTCGCGGATTGAGATTTGGTTGGGCGCGTAAGTACTGTAGTGATCGGTGGTCTGTCCGTACTGTCACGTCGGCGCCAGTCAGGTAACACCGCCAAACCTTGAACGCGTGCACGATCGCCAACATTTCGCGGTCGTGTATCGGGTAGTTGCGTTCGGGCGGGTGCAGTTTGCGGGACTCGTACGCGATTGGCTGGAGGCCGTTCCCGAAATCCTGCAACAGTACTGCTCCCACAGCGATGTCACTTGCGTCAGTGACGAGCTCGAACGGACGGTGTGGATCGGCGATGTGAAGCACGGGCGGTGAGCACAAAATGTTTTTGAGGGCCGAGAAGGCAGCTTGCTCTTTCTCCCCCCACGTGTACTCAACCCCCTTCCTCAGCAGGTCAGTCAACAGGGCAGTCAGCTTCGCCATGTCGGGGACGAACCGGCGCACGTAGTTGACGAACCCCAGAAAACTCTGCAACTCTGTCAAGTTGGTCGGCGCGTGCCACGCCTGAATCGTCGCAATTTTCTTCGGGTCTATTTCCACTCCTGCGGCTGAAATAACGTGTCCCAAAAACTCCAGACGGTCCTGTAAAATTTCACACTTAGACGCTTTTGTCAGTAGGCGGTTCTCACTCAGTATTTTAAAAACTGCTTCGATGTCCTGTAAGTGCTGTGCTCTGTCAGGGCTGTAAATCAGTATGTCGTCCAGGTATACTATGACGCACTTATCTAAGAGTGGGCGGAAAGCTTCGTTCATGGTCATTTGGAAAGTGGCGGGGGCGTTGGTCAGTCCGAAGGGCATGACAGTGTATTCGAAGGATCCGTAGCGTGTTCGGAATGCGGTTTTAGGGCAGTCGGGCGGATTGACACGAATCTGATGGTAACCCCCCCGGAGGTCGATTTTCGAGAAAACCCGGGCTGTGCGCAGTTGGTCGATCAGTTCGTCGGCTCGTGGGATGGGGTAACGGGATTTGATGGTAACCCTGTTCAGTGCTCTGTAATCGATGCACATGCGAAATCCCCCGTCTTTTTTCGGTGTAAACAGTATCGGTGCTGCGAAAGGCGACGAACTAGGGCGAATGAACTCCTTCTCGAGCAGGTAATCGAGCTGCTTCCTCAGTTCGTCCAGTTCGGGCTGGGTCAGTCGGAACTGTCGCTGTACTGTTGGCTGTGCCCCCGGTTCCAATTCTATTCTGTGATCGTGCGGTCGCTGAGGTGGCAGTCCCGTCGGTAAGTCGTCCGGGAAAATGTCGCTGTACTGCTTCAACAGTGCTGCCAGGTCACTCGGTACGTCGGTCAGCAGTTTCTGCAAATCCCCTCCCTTGTCTGCTGCCTCGGCTTCCCGAATGTCGACCGCGTACACGTCAGCTCCCGCCGCTACGGCGCGTTTCATCGTGATCGCGTTGACACGCACCGACGAAGACTCAGGCGAGCTCCAGCGAGGTAGGGCGATGTGGTTACCGTTCACTCGCACGGTGCAGTCACCCGTCGTCCAGTCGATTCGCGGATTGTGTCGTCGCAACCAATCACGCCCGAGTAAAATATCGGTTCCGTCGAGGGTCGTTGCGAGCATTTCTTGGCTAAATGTGAAGTTACCCCCGCATCGAATCCGAACCCGGTCTACGCGTTCCCGTATTGCCAGCGGCGTGCCGTCTACCAGTCGTGCGTCGATCTCAGGTAAACATCTGTCCAGTGGCAGTCGCAGTTTTCGTGTTGTAGCAGTGTTGATGAGGCTGTGGCTGGCTCCCCCATCTACGAAGATTTTAACTAAGTCCGTCCCGATTTTCCCACTAAGCAATATAGGGCTGTCTACCGTAGTACCCTCCTTATTCGGCCGGGTGTGGTCGATTGCGTGAACCGGCACAATCACTCGGTGAGGGTCGGTTGGGTCGGGCGAGCGGCGTGACCTGTCAGTAGAGGGCCCGTCTGCTACTGACTTCCAGCGTTTCCCTGCTGCTTGGTCTGTTTCTGCTGCTCAGCTTCCCCCTTTCCCTTAGCGTTTTCCGGGCATTCGCTCTTGCGGTGTCCCGGCCGATTACACGCGAAGCAGCGCCCTTTGAACGGTGCGGCAGCGGCATTCGCGGCGACGGCACGTATCGTGGCGCCCTCGTTCGTCCCACGAGACCGATGTCCCCAGTTGCTGCTACTGCCGTAGGACCCCGGTCTCGGTCGGCGGAAGAAGTCGAGCTTCTCCGCCATAGCGAGAATCTCCTGAAAATCGGTGACGCCGCGAAGCTGAATTTCTTGAGCGATGTCGTGCTTCAGGCCGCCGATGTAGCGGTCGATGCGCTCGCTCTCATGCATGTAGCCCACTTGCTCGCATAGCGCCAGAAACCCGCTGGTGTAGTCCTGGACTGAACCGAGTTGGCGCCAAGTGCGGAGCTTCTGTCGCGCCGCGATCGAAGCCGCAATTGGCTCAAATCGAGCGCGCAGACCTGCGCACCACGCGTCCCACGTGCGATATTGGGGCACCTCCACGAAGTACGACGGCGCCCAGGGTCCGGTTTGTCCTTCCCGTGTCGGTAGAGTCGCGTAGTCATTCGGCTTCGTGACGATGACGCGCCACCAGTCCATGGCGGGTCCTCGCAGCAGCGACACGGCGTAGCGAATTTTCGCCGAATCCTCCGAGACGTAGTTGGCGTCGAAAAACACGTTCATCGTGAACAACCACGCCTGAACGGTAGGACCACCCCGTTGACTCGGGTCAAAGCATGGCGGACGCTGCGGCTTCAGCGGCATCGGTGACGGCAGTCCCGAATCGTGGGTCGGTGCCGAAATCGTGACGCGAGGTTGACTTGGGGCCGCATTCGTCGCTCCGGGGTGTGTCGTGCCGTGGTCGTCGTCTCCGTCGGGGCGGACGACGCCATCACTGGCCGCGCTCGCGGGTTGCCCCACACTTCCGTGCTGTGATGTCTGTGGTGCGGGCTGAATCGGAGTGCCAGGTGCTTGGGATTGTGCCCTTGTGAGGTCGTTTTGCAGGGACGAGCGTTCTGCCGTCAGCGTCGCAATTTCCTCGGCGCTCTCGCGGATTTGTCGCAGCAGATCGTTCAAATGCTCCTGCGTGAGAGTCGTGACGTCGATGTGTTCGGCCATTTCGAAGGACGTCGGCTCGTCTTAGTCTAGGCGCAGTCGTGGCTGCACGCGTTTACGAGAGAACGCGAGGACAGCGGCTCCTAGGTGCTAAGGTACGTAAGTCCCTTCGAGTGAAAAATCAAAAGTTGATTTCCTGGGGTGCGGAGATGCGCGGTCCGAAAGAAAGGGGCTCTGAATACCAAGTGTTACGGGTGCAATGAATCGAAGTAGCGAGAATTGCACTAAGGTGTCAAACGAGTACAAAGATGTGAGCGAAGGCATGAGCGAACATTTATATGCGAAGCATGCAAACGGTAACGCGGTGCGTGCGAGCTAGCCAGTGCTATGCTGGCAGCGAGGCTCGGGCTAGTCCCGAAGCGTAGGCCGACACGGCCGGGCCAGCAGTGCGAGGTTTGGTGAAACAGTGCGCGCGAAGTCGGCGAAGTTCCGTTAGCAGTAACGGGCGAACAACGGCTGTTGCTGTACGCGATGTAGTCGGGCTCCGTAAGGAATGCCGAGAAAATTCCTTACATTTAGACACATGTGTGGGCATGCAGACAGACCGTACTTTAGTAAACTCTTTACAGTCTAGCTTCTTTCCAAAAATCACTCTAGGAATAGTTAATAGTACATATCGTCGTAATCTTCATTATATTGGCCATCATCCTCGTATACTTCTTGATTCCTCGGCTTCTGTTTCCTCTTTGGGGTACTCACGCCTACCTCCACCCTCCTCACTTGCCCCCGCCCTTGCTCCGGGTCTTCATCATCCCCCCACGTCGTGCTTCTCTGATGTCCCGACCGCCCTTGGCTCATAGAACCCCCTCGCGCCGCCCTTCCCCCTCGTCTCCCCCCACGAGGCGTCCGCGCCTCACCCCCATCCGGAGGGGTGCGTTTCGGGTTCTGACTCGACCCCCACGTCGTGTTACGAACCAACCTGTCATCGTCCTCCTCCCCTCCCACCGACCTATTGCTCTGCCGCGCCCGACTCCTCTGTCTCGACTCCCTCTGCTCATCATACTCCTCCTCTCCCTCCACCTCATCATAACCTCTCTCCCCACCACCCACCTTGCTCCGCTGCCGCTGGTACGTCCGCCTATCCCCCCCCTCATCCTCATACCTGTCCTCCACATCCCGAACCTCCCATTCTTCCTCCCTTCCTCCCTCTGCATACCCCACATTCCCATTCCCATTTCCATTCCCACCAGCCATGCTCATCTGTCGCTTGTACTCAGCGCTCGCCATGCTCTGGAAAGTCAGACTGCGCTGGAAGCTCGCACTCCCCGGCCCATTCTGCGGCCCCTTCTCCCCCCCACCACGGCTCAACGTACGGTCAAACCGCGCCCCTCCCCCACCCCCCCCAGCAGCACTGGCCATGGTGTTGGTCCGTTTGTAGCTCGGCCCCCCTGCCCCCCCTGCTCCTGTGTTCACCCGAGACAGCGTGCGTTCGAGTGACGGCTCCACCATCACAAACGTGGGCGCTCTCGCCAGTGCGATGCCATCCGACTCACTCAGTCCCTCAGGCTCCGCACCGTTGCACGAGGCGCAGCACATGGCAAGCCCCAGCAGCAGCAGAAGTCCCGCCGCTGCCGTGCCCACGTATGCCTGCACCTTGAAGTTGCTCTGGAGGAGGGCTAGCAGGCCGCCCTGGCAGAGCGAGCAGCTGTAGCAGAGAACTGTGGGGTCGATGCTGAAGGCGCTACAGGCGGAGGAGGAGGTTGGGTTGGCGGGTGTGGTAACGGTGGGTGTGGTGGGGACGGCGAAGGCGAAGGAGTAGATTGTGTTCTGAGGGAGGTTGACTGGGCAGCCCTCGGGAGGTAGGCAGCAACCAGCCTGGTAGCATGGGGTGGGAGAGGGGAGGAGAGAGAGGTGGTGGGGAGAAGGGCGGAGGAGAGGAAGGTGTTTGGTTCCCTGAAAGGGCACATGGAGAGTGTGGTGTGTTGTGGATGGGGAGTTCACTTCGTGGCTCAATTCAATCCTCTTCCCTTGAAAGCGCATGACAATGAAGGTGCCTTACCTCTAGAGGCGAGATCTGCTTCCCTTGCAGCTTGTCACGGGTGTACAGGCGGAGGTCAGAGCAGACGTGCACGGTGTTAGTGAGGCATGCTTGTAACGAGGACCAGGAGCCCAGCTGCTGCTGCATCCAAGCGGAGAAGCCGGCTGGCTCGTACACTGTCTGGCCGCGGCTGCTGCTTGCTGCCCCTCCTGCCGTCACCACAAACGCAAAGACTGCGGCGAGACGGGTGGGCGCCGGGAGGGGGTGAGAGGGGGCGGGAGGATGGGGGGAAGGAAGAGAGAGGGATGAGGTGGAGGCGGGGGAGAACGTGAGGGCGAGGGGTAGGCGAAGCAGCGGGTGGGTAGCGGGAGGGGGATGAACAAGTGGTGTAATAGACTTGGCCGCACGTAGCTCGCACAGGTGCACGCACGGGCTTACAAAAGGCACTGAGGCGAAAGAGGGGAGGGGATTGGGTTGGGGCAAAGTGGCTATGAGGGAGTCAGATGTCAGGGGAGGAGCGGAGGGGGCGGAGAGGGGGGAAAGGGAGGCGAGGTGGGCGAAGGCAGAGGCGACGTTACTGGAGAAGGCGAGGAGGGCGAGAAGGGCGAGGATAGCGAGGAAGACGTGCAGACACTTGAACCCGCCATGGCCGCACGCCACGCCCTGCAGCCCCACCAGTGCCGCTAGCAGCAGCAGGCCGCCCCCCACCATCATGGGCGTCTGATACACCAGCAGACATAGGCTCGCCGGTGTGCTATGGAGGGGGAAATGGGGGGAAGATTTGGGGGGATGTGGAAAATAGTGAGAAGAGAGTGGCCTCACTGCCCCTTATCAACCCCTCACCTCATCCCCTCGTCGCACCCATCACCACCGCACCTCATCGCACCCAGACCGCACCTCATCATGCCCACACCGCACCTCATCATCACCGCCGCACCGCACCTCATCATCACCGCACCTCATCATGGCCCACAGCGCGGCGGCAATGACGCCGAGAGCGATGGCGAACTCGCAAGCGTGGAACGCGGCGCTCAGCGTCGCGGCCTCCTTCTTCCGCCTCCCCATCGCGCCCTTCCGGCGCGTGCCTTCTGAGCTAAAGAGCTTGCGCCGCGCCTCTTCGCGCCACTCCGCGCCCTATCCCGCCTCTCCGCGCCGTCGCCCAACTCGCCCGCCGTCCTCGCTTGGCGCGGCGCTACTGCAGGCGCGAGTCGCGGGTGCGTTTCAGGGCTGCGAATCGCGTAGAGCCCAAGGCAAGAGAATTGCTTAACCTCACAGATTCCACTACTTAATTTCTAATAGCCTGAGAGATAACCCAACGCAGGCGACTGACTTGAGGACGAATGCCTCTCCACACAGATTGGAATCACGTGTTTAAGCTACTCATTGTCCAGTCATCATACCTCCATGTTTATAAACATAGTGCGGGTCTGCCGAGCGCTCGCTTCGCGAAAATTATGAGCGACGAGAACGGGAAGAGCGCAGAATGCGCGAGGATCGTTGAAAGGCAAGCAAGGAGAGTGTCGATGCCGCAACTAGGGAGGAGCGGTTATGGCAGGAAATGGCGAACGTGGGGAAGGCATGCAAGAAAGGTGGTGGTGAGAGTGACGACGTAACCTCGCGCTACCGAAGGTTAACTTACCGAAAATACGTTCGAACCACCTTCCACCTCTTTGTTTCCCCGAACCTCCAACCAAACCAACTTCCCTGCCAGAAATCTCAATTTCGCGCCGTGTACTGTTCAACCGCACAGTACTGTAGGGCCTGCAGCCACTTCCGGACCTGTGGCTGTACAGTGCGAGCGACTGTAAAATAGGGAATGCTGTAAGGAATTTTCTCGGCATTCCTTACGGAGCCCGACTACATCGCGTACAGCAACAGCCGTTGTTCGCCCGTTACTGCTAACGGAACTTCGCCGACTTCGCGCGCACTGTTTCACCAAACCTCGCACTGCTGGCCCGGCCGTGTCGGCCTACGCTTCGGGACTAGCCCGAGCCTCGCTGCCAGCATAGCACTGGCTAGCTCGCACGCACCGCGTTACCGTTTGCATGCTTCGCATATAAATGTTCGCTCATGCCTTCGCTCACATCTTTGTACTCGTTTGACACCTTAGTGCAATTCTCGCTACTTCGATTCATTGCACCCGTAACACTTGGTATTCAGAGCCCCTTTCTTTCGGACCGCGCATCTCCGCACCCCAGGAAATCAACTTTTGATTTTTCACTCGAAGGGACTTACGTACCTTAGCACCTAGGAGCCGCTGTCCTCGCGTTCTCTCGTAAACGCGTGCAGCCACGACTGCGCCTAGACTAAGACGAGCCGACGTCCTTCGAAATGGCCGAACACATCGACGTCACGACTCTCACGCAGGAGCATTTGAACGATCTGCTGCGACAAATCCGCGAGAGCGCCGAGGAAATTGCGACGCTGACGGCAGAACGCTCGTCCCTGCAAAACGACCTCACAAGGGCACAATCCCAAGCACCTGGCACTCCGATTCAGCCCGCACCACAGACATCACAGCACGGAAGTGTGGGGCAACCCGCGAGCGCGGCCAGTGATGGCGTCGTCCGCCCCGACGGAGACGACGACCACGGCACGACACACCCCGGAGCGACGAATGCGGCCCCAAGTCAACCTCGCGTCACGATTTCGGCACCGACCCACGATTCGGGACTGCCGTCACCGATGCCGCTGAAGCCGCAGCGTCCGCCATGCTTTGACCCGAGTCAACGGGGTGGTCCTACCGTTCAGGCGTGGTTGTTCACGATGAACGTGTTTTTCGACGCCAACTACGTCTCGGAGGATTCGGCGAAAATTCGCTACGCCGTGTCGCTGCTGCGAGGACCCGCCATGGACTGGTGGCGCGTCATCGTCACGAAGCCGAATGACTACGCGACTCTACCGACACGGGAAGGACAAACCGGACCCTGGGCGCCGTCGTACTTCGTGGAGGTGCCCCAATATCGCACGTGGGACGCGTGGTGCGCAGGTCTGCGCGCTCGATTTGAGCCAATTGCGGCTTCGATCGCGGCGCGACAGAAGCTCCGCACTTGGCGCCAACTCGGTTCAGTCCAGGACTACACCAGCGGGTTTCTGGCGCTATGCGAGCAAGTGGGCTACATGCATGAGAGCGAGCGCATCGACCGCTACATCGGCGGCCTGAAGCACGACATCGCTCAAGAAATTCAGCTTCGCGGCGTCACCGATTTTCAGGAGATTCTCGCTATGGCGGAGAAGCTCGACTTCTTCCGCCGACCGAGACCGGGGTCCTACGGCAGTAGCAGCAACTGGGGACATCGGTCTCGTGGGACGAACGAGGGCGCCACGATACGTGCCGTCGCCGCGAATGCCGCTGCCGCACCGTTCAAAGGGCGCTGCTTCGCGTGTAATCGGCCGGGACACCGCAAGAGCGAATGCCCGGAAAACGCTAAGGGAAAGGGGGAAGCTGAGCAGCAGAAACAGACCAAGCAGCAGGGAAACGCTGGAAGTCAGTAGCAGACGGGCCCTCTACTGACAGGTCACGCCGCTCGCCCGACCCAACCGACCCTCACCGAGTGATTGTGCCGGTTCACGCAATCGACCACACCCGGCCGAATAAGGAGGGTACTACGGTAGACAGCCCTATATTGCTTAGTGGGAAAATCGGGACGGACTTAGTTAAAATCTTCGTAGATGGGGGAGCCAGCCACAGCCTCATCAACACTGCTACAACACGAAAACTGCGACTGCCACTGGACAGATGTTTACCTGAGATCGACGCACGACTGGTAGACGGCACGCCGCTGGCAATACGGGAACGCGTAGACCGGGTTCGGATTCGATGCGGGGGTAACTTCACATTTAGCCAAGAAATGCTCGCAACGACCCTCGACGGAACCGATATTTTACTCGGGCGTGATTGGTTGCGACGACACAATCCGCGAATCGACTGGACGACGGGTGACTGCACCGTGCGAGTGAACGGTAACCACATCGCCCTACCTCGCTGGAGCTCGCCTGAGTCTTCGTCGGTGCGTGTCAACGCGATCACGATGAAACGCGCCGTAGCGGCGGGAGCTGACGTGTACGCGGTCGACATTCGGGAAGCCGAGGCAGCAGACAAGGGAGGGGATTTGCAGAAACTGCTGACCGACGTACCGAGTGACCTGGCAGCACTGTTGAAGCAGTACAGCGACATTTTCCCGGACGACTTACCGACGGGACTGCCACCTCAGCGACCGCACGATCACAGAATAGAATTGGAACCGGGGGCACAGCCAACAGTACAGCGACAGTTCCGACTGACCCAGCCCGAACTGGACGAACTGAGGAAGCAGCTCGATTACCTGCTCGAGAAGGAGTTCATTCGCCCTAGTTCGTCGCCTTTCGCAGCACCGATACTGTTTACACCGAAAAAAGACGGGGGATTTCGCATGTGCATCGATTACAGAGCACTGAACAGGGTTACCATCAAATCCCGTTACCCCATCCCACGAGCCGACGAACTGATCGACCAACTGCGCACAGCCCGGGTTTTCTCGAAAATCGACCTCCGGGGGGGTTACCATCAGATTCGTGTCAATCCGCCCGACTGCCCTAAAACCGCATTCCGAACACGCTACGGATCCTTCGAATACACCGTCATGCCCTTCGGACTGACCAACGCCCCCGCCACTTTCCAAATGACCATGAACGAAGCTTTCCGCCCACTCTTAGATAAGTGCGCCATAGTATACCTGGACGACATACTGATTTACAGCCCTGACAGAGCACAGCACTTACAGGACATCGAAGCAGTTTTTAAAATACTGAGTGAGAACCGCCTACTGACAAAAGCGTCTAAGTGTGAAATTTTACAGGACCGTCTGGAGTTTTTGGGACACGTTATTTCAGCCGCAGGAGTGGAAATAGACCCGAAGAAAATTGCGACGATTCAGGCGTGGCACGCGCCGACCAACTTGACAGAGTTGCAGAGTTTTCTGGGGTTCGTCAACTACGTGCGCCGGTTCGTCCCCGACATGGCGAAGCTGACTGCCCTGTTGACTGACCTGCTGAGGAAGGGGGTTGAGTACACGTGGGGGGAGAAAGAGCAAGCTGCCTTCTCGGCCCTCAAAAACATTTTGTGCTCACCGCCCGTGCTTCACATCGCCGATCCACACCGTCCGTTCGAGCTCGTCACTGACGCAAGTGACATCGCTGTGGGAGCAGTACTGTTGCAGGATTTCGGGAACGGCCTCCAGCCAATCGCGTACGAGTCCCGCAAACTGCACCCGCCCGAACGCAACTACCCGATACACGACCGCGAAATGTTGGCGATCGTGCACGCGTTCAAGGTTTGGCGGTGTTACCTGACTGGCGCCGACGTGACAGTACGGACAGACCACCGATCACTACAGTACTTACGCGCCCAACCAAATCTCAATCCGCGACAAATTCGCTGGCTGGACTACCTCGAGTCCAACTTCCACTACACAGTTACGTACAAGAAAGACGCATCCAACATCGCCGACACACTCACCCGCCCTACCGCCCAACTCCACGCCATCCTACTCGCCCAGACCAACCCGCTGTTAACAGGCCTATTCACCCACGGATACCGCACCGACCCATTTTTCACGACTGGAAACTCACAGCAACTGGCAGAAGCTAAAGGAGTTTATTACGTAAAAACAGGCACCAACCGCATCTGGGTACCTGCGTACTCACTACTGAGGGAGCTGCTACTGCAGGAGGCACACGACGGAATTACCTCGGGACACTTTGGGGTAGAAAAAACGCGACAGCAACTGCAGCGGTATTATTACTGGCCGGAGCTGTTGACCGACGTACAGCAGCACGTGGGCTCGTGCCCCACGTGTCAGGTGATGAAGAGCTCGAGGAAGCGGAAGGCGGGTCAATTGCAGCCGATACCACCGCCCGAGCGCGCCTGGCAGCAGGTTACCATGGACTTCGTCACAGGGTTACCTTCGAACCCTGGGGGTAACGACGCGGTGATGGTCGTCGTTGACAGGCTGACGAAGATGGCACACTTCGCTGCGTGCAAAAAGTCGATCTCAGCCGAGGAGACCGCTCGTCTGTTCATCGCA